CTGATATAGTTATATTCATGCACTTGTACCCAAATTTACGGCGCTGGCGCCTGGAGTTCTCCCAGCAACAAGCTTCGCTTAGCTGGGTGGACTTCGCGGATATCCAACTCAAGACCCAGCACGAAAATGGCAGTTAATTGTCCTGACTTGTGTAACCGTACAACTTTTACTAACATTGTGAATGAGTGGTTGTATCTTATTGGCTGGGTCTAACGGACTGTCACCAGCTGACTTTTGCTAATGACTACTTTAAGCTTTCTCATGTATGATTTGTCCTTGCCTACTGCATAACACAATGTCTACCGGGTCTGCATCACCTCTCCGCCTGCTTCTTTATGTTTGTTTCCTCTTCCTAGCTGGGAATGCCGCGACTTGATTCTATGTTTTCTGGTGTTAACGTACGATTTATTGCGTCGCTGGGATAGAGGGAGAGGCACTTCTGGTTACCTGTTCTTCTTCGGTGGCGGTATAGAAAAAAAAACGTTGTAAAGGGCTGATCGTACAGACGCCCAACAGTGTCAGACTACTGCTAGGCTTCATAAATCTCTGTAACCAGGATCGCATCCACTGGGAGAGGAGTGCGACCCCCCCCCCCACACACACACTTCAGATGTGTTGACCCTGGAGATCTTCGGAGCTGGACGGAGCCCTGTTTGCCACCCCATATGACGTCACCCGACCCTTACGCCCGCAGGCCCATCTCTACCAACTGATGAAGTCGGACAGTTACTCGCGTTACCTTAGATCGGAAATGTACAAAGAGTACATGGCAGGTACCAAAAAGAAGGTAAGGAGGTTCGGAAACATGCGCCTCAGAGAAGTCGCCTCCACAGACATCTGCAAAATGGGCATTCCCCACTGGCGCTTGTATATGTGAAGAACTGGATGCTTGTTGATTTTAGCCATACCGCGCAAAAGGCCGCTGTACGAATGCCCGTAATCTATGCTAGACTCAACAAAGACAAACGCAGTACACTTCTTGGAAACGATTGCAACAGTGGCCGACTTTCAGCGAATGAATTAGCTAACATGTCTAGCTGGTGTCTCGTGGTTTGTACAAAATTAGATGCAAGCACCTTCAGCGAATGTGATGCACATACAGCAGGTGGAGAAGCGCTTTTTAGAGCGCGTGAATAAGTTACACGATCTATACCCATGCTACTGATATCCGCTTGTAATTGAGCTGTTTGTCAGAGGCAGTGATAACCACCGTATTCATGTAAGACCATGGTGGAGTAATTGCGTTCCCTTCGATCCACGCCATATCGCTCCGTATTCAGCTGCTATATTCCTCCTCACAGTTATGCACATTTAATACTGATTTGTCGCACTGAAACTAAGTTGAACCACTGACGCTTGTCGGTTTAGTGACGACTGATAAATTTCATTTTTAATAGGGTACTGCCCTTCTCCATCCAGCGTTGAAAAGGTCTGCTCACCACCTGGTGTCAATGCCGCAGATTTCGGTCCGAGGGATTCGCTCCATTGTCTCATTCACAACGAAGAAAGAGTCGTCATGATCGCGGCTGCGGCTGGTCTACCACAGGTGAGATACGGCTGATGCGGCTGCGTCGGCTCCCAAGGGCGCTCGCAGCCGCCAGGCGCCCGTCTTGGTAGATCAGCATTAGATACTTTATTTTCTTCCGCTGCTGGTTTCCAGCCTTATATTGCGGCAACTGTTCGATGCCAGCTTTGCCAACAGCATTACTGTCGAGAGCTGGCTCTGCATAGATCCCGGTTCTGCTGCAGTGCTGAGCCTGGTCCAGCCCGTCATGTCCTAGCTGTCAGTGATACTGTGCGTCGCCACTGCCTCTGGGTAGTCCTGCTCGCGCCGCTGGGAATGAGTAGCCTTGGATCCCGCCACTGGCTCTGGGTTGCCGCGTGTCCCAACACTCACTGCGTACTTTTGTGTCCCACTGCTGTGTCCATGTGGTTCTGAACCAAATCACTGTTTACGCTGTCATGCATCTGTAAACTTGTGCAAGTCCGCTAGTGAGTGGCTATTTTATGCCAATGCTGCGGAATAAAGCCAACCTGACAAGGGGCACTGGTGCGAGCACAGACACATCACCGATTAAAGAACAGGAAAGACACAAACTTGAAATCCGATGGAACACGGCCTTACTCGTAAGCGTGATGTTAATGCAGTGCTGCAGTCCAATGTCGACGGTCGTCGGTGATCCCGTATCTGAGCACGATCTGAGGGTAGCATGCACCTCGCCGGTTTGTATGACCATGCATTCTTCTCCACCACCGCCCACGTGTAGCCCTGTATGTGTCCTTCACTACTGATTGTGTGTATTCCTGAAGCCCACCAAGCCCAATGCCACACAGACACATCATCATCATGTGTCTGTATGGTATTGTGTTTCACCACGGTCCATGTGCAGTCAGTCCTGTATTTCATCCTTTCTCTGTGCGGTCCTGTGCTCCAGCACGCTCCACGTGCAGTCAGTCCTATATTTCATCCTGTCTCTGTGCAGTCCTGTGCTCCACCACGGTTCCTGTGTAGTCCGTCCTGTATTTCATCCTGTCTCTGTGTGGTATTTCATCCTGTCTCTGTGCGGTCCTGTGCTCCGCTACGGTCCCTGTGTAGTCAGTCCTGTATTTCATCCTGTTTCTGTGCGGTCCTGTGCTCCGCTACGGTCCATGTGCAGTCAGTCCTGTATTTCATACTGTTTCTGTGCGGTCCCGTGCCCCGCTACGGTCCCTGTGTAGTCAGTCCTGTATTTCATCCTGTCTCTGTGCGGTCCTGTGTTCCACCACGGTCCATGTGCAGTCAGCCCTGCATTTCATCCTGTCTTTGTGCGGTCCTGTGTTCCAACACGGTCCATGTGCAGTCAGTCCTGTATTTCATACTGTCTCTGTGCGGTCCCGTGCTCCGCTACGGTCCCTGCGTGGTCAGTCAGTCCTGTATCGCACCAGCCTCTGATAAGCTGAGCCGCACCGCCACCGCCAGCCCTCCCCCCCCCCCCCCCAGCCGTCGGCCCCCGCGGCCAGCACTCTCTCGTGCCTCCCTCGCCTTTGTGTGGTAATGGGATGTCCGGCCTATCAAGGCCATTTCCCGGGACGCCGCGGCGACGCATCCGGATAGTATCCCGGCCGACCGCGGGCATTGTCACGCGCCTGTCCGCGGCACACACACAGCGGGCGGCGACGACCGCCGACACGATTCCCCGCTCTGTCGGCAGTCCGCCGGGCGGCGCGGCCATCTGCGTCCGCGCCGCCGCCGCCGCCGCACGGGGGTGCTGCACATTTGGGACCAGTGGGAGTGGACCGCGGCCTCCGCACCGGGCCGCCGCGTCTGGACGACAGAGGGCCCGCCGTGGCGAGGCCCGCCGCACTTGCGGACAGTGTCGGCACGCCGGCCGAGGGACAGCGCGCCGGCCGAGGGACAGCGCGCGTCCGGGCGGCGGGACGCTCCGGGCTGTGTCGGGACGGCGGCGGCGCGGCCCCGGCCGCCGGAAGAGGGGCGCGCCGCCGACAGTGCGAGTCTTGGGACCACGCCAGCGCTGTGGGCCAGCGAAGCCAGCGGAGCCCGAACCAGTCAGCAGTGCCGGCCGCCATTTTTAGAGCATATTTTTGGATAGGGTTGACGAATGTTTGTTTCGGGAGCCCGGAGCTCTCCTCGGCTCCTCTCCCTTGTTCGTTTGCGCCGTGATTGTAGGCGTTCTGAGGTTAGATCTGTGAGTCAGTCTTCAGCGGTGTTGTGAGGAGGTTGCCGCATTCTTGTACTGTCGAGTAGAGCGCAGTGAACCCACGAGCTTCACTGGCCGGCGCCGCTCTGTGCTGTGGTACATGCGACGGATCTGAAACCCGACGGCAACGGTGTCTGCGATCACGGAGGAGAGCCGTGCATCTTGTGTACTGCCCGCGGCGGCGGCGGCCGCCGCCACCAACCGCCGCGCATCCTATCGGGCTCGGCCTGCGCCCGCTTGTGACCTCGAGCCGGCGGCCGGCCGCCCCGCCTCCCGATCCTGTGTTTGTGCCCGCCGGCCGCACTGCCGGCCCGCACCAGTGGCCGGCGCGGCCAGCGGCCTCTGTCACCAACTAGTAGGTACAAATGCTGATCAATACCCGGCCGCCGCGACAGACCCGTGCCGGGCTACTGTTCCCCGTTATGCTCCGGGCCTGTTCCCTGGCCATCTTTGCCCCCCCCCCCCCACCCCTCCTCTTTCCCGCCATCCCCGTGAAGAGTCACAAGGTCACTGACCAAAGTCGAGGTGAGCAAGTTCTCATGGTGTCGACTGTTTTTGTCTCATGATTGTTGACGTTGCCGTAAATAAATAAATCGACGTCGTTTTGGGAGCTGGAGCAGTTTGGGGACGTTGCATCATCCCTGAGTCTGTGCTCACGACCCACAAGCCCGCCTCATTTCCGCAGCGACGAAAACGACTCCGTCTCGCAGCGATTCTATTGCACCACTTGCTCGCTACACCGCGCCATAAACATTTAGTGATTATGCCACTGCAGATAGCACAATGCAAACACGCAGCCGGAGGGCGGTTGGTTAATTGCTTTTTCCACGGGCGATCGGCTGCAATGGAAGCCTGGCCTATCGCCGAGCGACGACTCTTACCAACGCCACGCCCCTGATGGGGGGGGGGGGGGGGGGTCTGTGGGGCTCGCCGCCTCCCTTCGCGCCGTTCACACTCACAGAACGGCGGCCGCAAGCCCGGTGACTCCACCCCAGCACCAGACCACGGACGCCGGCGCGACCCCGGGTCACCGTCCGGCGGCGAGAGCTGAGCCGCCGACCCCGCACCGGTCAGCGGCCGAGCGCGCGCGCGCGCCGGCGGCCAGTCCCTCCGGAGCCGTCGTCAGGAGGGCGGCGCTCGGTCACGCCTGTCAATAGCAGCGCCCGGCACCGGTCCCCCGGCAGCGCGGCGCGGCCGCCGCCGGCCGCAGCGGTCGGCAGGCCTGCCGATACTGCTGGACAGCCGGCGCGCGGCCGCCCGTCCAGAACCCGTCGACACGCGACGGCGCGGACAGTCCGGCCGCCGGGCGGTGTCCGGCCGCGCCGCTGTCCGCCCTGTCCGCCCCCGACGGCCGACGGAGCTACTGCCAGCCGGCACATCGATGTCAGAAAGAGCAGACTATCGCGGCCGGCCAAGGGTGCGCGTCACGACGGACCGGCCGCCCGAGAAGTGCGGCGGGTAAATACCGGGCGCTGGCCCAGACGGGGCGGCACAACGTTGCAGCGTCGCTCCGTCGCGCGGCTGGCGCCCGCGCCGCGGCGCGCCACCTGTGTCAGCGGCGCCTGGCGCAGACGAATCGACCCCGCCCGGGGGCCCGCCACAGCACAGGCGCACGGGGCGTCGGGCATCCGGGCGAACGCACCGAGAGGTCGGCAGCCTCTGGCGGCGGAAGACATGAGGCCGGCGCCGCCTGGCAGTTATGGCGGCACGGCGCGAGGCGAGGCAGACGGCGACTAGTCCTATCACGGAGCCCGCGCAGGCGGGGGCGGGAGGGCGCTTCGCAGAGCGGCACCTACAGACCGCCAGGGTCGCAAAGAGCTGGGCGGGAGACACAACCACCTAACGGGGCAGCGACACCGCCACCGACATCTGACGGCCAGGAGCTGAACTAAGAAAAAAAGTTCGTTGACAGAACAGCTTTCCACCCATACATCACACCAAGGTTCATAGACGGCATACCCAGAAGCGTTACAAAAGCCAGCGATGTCTAAAAAAGATGCAGAAAAAGAACACAACCCGCCCAGATTGTCCACACTGCTGTCTGCTGGAGATTCCCGCACGTAAACATTGCACAGTACTCAAGCGTTAAGTACGTAATATCACATTGTGTTAGAGAGAGAGAGACCTGGGTGGCTCTAAGGGATACAGGGGGCGCTAGCGCACAAGGCGGAGCAGGGCACGACCAACCGCGTCCGCCTGCGCCCGGCGGCCTCCAGAGGGCCTCCCTCGCGTGCCACGAGATTCAGCACTAGCACGCGCTTTGGTTACATCGGCGAACAACAAAGGCACACACTGAAGAAGGCCAAAACAACAGATCGAGAAGACAGGGCGACTTGCTGCGCCCGCGACTGCACCATAAACCTTGTGTTGTCAACCTGCAGATCTCATGATTAAGTTGATATACGCACTGCACCTTCGCAGCACTCAGAAAAAGTGACGGCCTACGACAGTACACATATAATAGTCGCAAAACACAAGCGTAGCAAAACAAACGTGCCCTGTGGTCCTGCGTCCTCAGCAAGCCACTAATAGGCAGGCGCCATCTGTCGGAACGCGCCAAGGTTGAAGTTCCCGAGTCCCACGCTTTGTGGCGCTAGTCGAACCCTCTACCGGGTCATATTTCGCTGTCGTTTGTCATCCAACGTCTGCAGGTATTCCCTGTAACACGAAAATGCGGCATTACAGACCCACGCAACCAACGCGGCCGGCGTGTCTTTGAAGACGACTTTCCCGTCACCGCTTATATGTGTGCTGCAGCCGGGGCGCACCGACCGGCGGCGGAGGCTGCAGGAACATTACGTCACGCCTCTCTCCCCACCCAACCCCTTGCCTCCCCTCACTCCTATATAACATGAATGCAGGCAGCGTCATCACGTCAGCGGCCGTCCCTCCCAATACAGCGCCGTTCCAGCAATCCCGGGCTGCCAGCGGCCGGCCGGCCGGCCGCTCGCTCGCCGCCGGCGTTACTCACAGCTCCATGGTGTGTACCGTGCTGCCCGGGCAGACCGTCTCCACGCGCACGTGGCACTGCTTGTGCACCTTGACCTGGCAGCCGCGGCACTCGTACGCCTGCTTCCCCAGCCAGCGTGGTAGCGACTTCTCGCAGACCGAACAGAGGGCGCTGACGGCGAGGCAGCGGAGGGGGAGGTCAACGCCTTGGTCGCCGGGCACCATCAGCGGGCCGCGGCAGGCGACGGTCACCGACTCAGAGCCACACGTGGGACACGGGGACACACGAGCGGCAGGCGACGGTCACCGACTCAGAGTCACACGAGGGGCACAGGGAGGGGCGCACGAGCGGCAGGCGACGGTCGCCGGCTCAGAGGCACACGCGGAACACGAGGGCACACGAGCGGCAGGCGACGGTCGCCGGCTCAGAGGCGCACGCGGAGCACGGCGGCACACGAGCGGCAGGCGACAGTCGCCGGCTCAGAGGCACACGAGCGGCAGGTGACGGTCGCCGACTCAGAGGCAAACGCGGGACACGGCGGCACACGAGCGGCAGGTGACGGTCGCCGGCTCAGAGGCACACGAGCGGCAGGTGACGGTTGCCGACTCAGAGGCACACGCGGGACACGGCGGCACACGAGCGGCAGGTGACGGTCGCCGGCTCAGAGGCACACGAGCGGCAGGTGACGGTCGCCGACTCAGAGGCACACGCGGGACACGGCGGCACACGAGCGGCAGACGACGGTCACTGGCTCAGAGGCACACGAGCGGCAGGCGACGGTCACCGGCTCAGAGGCACACGAGCGGCAGGTGACGGTCATCTGCTCAGAGGCACACGTGGGACACGGGGACACACGGGCGGCAGGCGACGGTCATCGGCTGAGACACACGCAGGACACGGGGGCACACGAGCAGCAGGCGACGGTCGCCGGCTCAGAGGCACACGCGGAGCACGGAGGCCAAGAGCGGCAGGCGACGGTCACCGGCTCAGAGACAAACGCGGAACACGGGGGCACACGAGCGGCAGGCGACGGTCACCGGCTCAGAGACACATGCAGAGCACAGGGGCGCACGAGCGGCAGGCGATGGTCACCGGCTCAGAGACACATGCGGAGCACAGGGGCGCACGAGCGGCAGGCGACGGTCACCGGCTCAGAAACACATGCGGAGCACGGGGGCACACGAGCGGCAGGCGACGGTCGCCGGCTCAGAGGCACACGAGCGGCAGGCGACGGTCACCGGCTCAGAGACACATGCGGAGCACGGGGGCACACGAGCGGCACGGCCGCAGGCGGATAATGCGCACAACAAGAGCGTCGCTCAGGCCAACACCCCAGCGGGAGCGTCATCGGAGCAGAGCACAGCAGGGAGACCCTCACCTGGGCAGATGCTTCGCCACGAACACGTGCTCGTTGTAAATGTGCAGCTTGGAGCCCTTCTTCCTCCACTTGGACCTCTTGGCCATGTTGTTGGGTACTAAGTAGTGTCTACGGAGAGAGCGGAAGACGACGACTTAACGGCTGTTTGAACGGCAGTGCGCCAACAGAACTGAACAGCCCGCTATTATGCTGCAGAGTTCAAGTCCATATTTATTCATAGCTTAACTCAGGCCCCACGTTCAGTACACAATGGCGCAGCGAGTTTCACACGCACGTCACACGAGTCCTGCTGCGCACATCCAGATGCAGCCAGCCCGTATACCGCTTGTGCCTGCTGGTACGGCTCGAGCACACCTGGCCAACTGCCGGCGGCGGCGGCGGCGGCGGCGGCGGCGGCGGCGGTACGCGGGCTTACTTGAGTATGCCGTTCTCCGTGGTCTCCAGCACCAGGGTGGACTCGTCGTTGATGTAGGTGCGGTTGGAGGCGTTGCTGATTCCGGACATGTCGCTGAGGCTGCTGTCGTCGGGCGCGCCGGGCCGGCCGGCGCCTACCGACACAGGAGTGCTGTCAGCGAGCCCTCCGCGGCCGGCCCGCCGCCGGCCCAGCGCGCCGGCACGGGCCGCCCGGCCGTCGGCCCGCGCCGGCGAGGCGAGGCTGGGGAGGTCTGTCCATCCCGCACCCCCGCCCCCGGGAGCACTGGCGGTCCACACGTTGGCGTGTTAGTGATGTGCACAAGCGAGGCATGGCAGACAAAGCTTGGCAGTGCGGATCGGTGTGCGGTGAGAGCACCGCGGACTGGCACGAACCCCAGCAAAACGCCGGCATTTGGTACACACAGGAACAACATGAGCCCTTCATTGCACGGCAAAAGGGATTTATCCCAACAGACAATTGAACAAATAACTGGCTCAATAGTTAACATAACGTTCTGCGTTGCACTGAGCTGCCGCTGATGAATGGCCAGGTACCGTCTAATCATTACACGGCAGCTGTCTGAGCTGCTCATTCAACTCAAGACACCCGTTGAGGTTTCGAGCTTTAACCAATTCGACAAGGCGAAACCACCCTCTTGAAGTTTCGCTACTGCCTTTATGTTCTAGCTATTCCTAAATGCTAAAATTGCATTGCTGTCTAAGGCTATCGTCTACTTTTGAGCCAAATATTACCGCTACTGCGCAATTTTGCATCGCAAAATTACATGACAAACACAGTTGTACGGTGAATATAACCATTCATTTGACCCCTAAATATTATCGTCTACAGCCTACGAAAGAAGCTCCTCAGCTACAGCAGCGCGCTGCCCGCAACGCAGGTGTGCACAAGTTGCCCGCCCACTGCCCAGCGCCCTGGGCTGCCCAACCGACGGCAGGCATGGGCCGGGCCAGCGGAGAGTACCATCAAACGGAGCGACAAGTTGCGCCACGTCCAGATGACACTTTGCCAGGGAATCTGCCGGAAACAGGCCAATTTGACCTAAGACTTCGAGGCGCAAGTTATTACTAACAGGAAAACTCGCTGATATCATAGAGTAGAGACGGTGCGTCTATACCATGGGAGTAAGTTGTCCACCAGTGCACCACTAAAAGGGCGTAAGCTGTCCACCAGTGCACCCCAAAAGGGCGTAAGTACACCACTAAAAGGGCGTAAGTTGTCCATCGCTTTCGGACGCTGGCCACGGCCTGCACGGCGACTCACAGGAGACGGGCAGCGGCCGCCTGAAGGGATCGACTGCGCCGGCAGACACGTCCGCGGCGCCGCCCTCTTGAAACAGCACCAAACGCGCGGTCACACGGGGTGAGCGGGTCACGCGAGCGGCAGGCCACCAGTGTCAGCAGGTCACCGTTGCAAGCAGGCAGCGGGCAGGCCAGCGGTTAGAGCCGCAAGAGGCGATTCACACGGGCGCGGGCGCGAGACCCGCCCTCGGCCACGAGGGAGGGCAGGGTTAGAGGCGGCCCAGCACGCTGGCGGTGCTGAAAGCTCAGGGCGCGAGTACCGGCGGCGGCCCATACGCGCCAATCACAGACAGCCGGCCGGCCGGCCGGCAGCCGCTCGAGCGTCTCTCTCCCCAGGGCACACACACACACAGGGGCGGGCTGCGGGCGCGTGCAGACGGAGCACGCGTAGCCATCAATCCCCAGCTGGGAACGATCGGCAACGTCGCCACACCCTTCAGCGCCAACACGTCACGTTGTGAGTTCGTATCAGCAGTGATTTTCAAACATATCAGTGCTGATTCGCAAGCATATCAGTACTGATTTGCAAGCATGTCAGTACTGTTTTGCAAGCAGATCAGTACTGATTTGCAAGCAAGCAAAACTACACCCGGTCACACCCGTTAACTAGCACATGTATCTGCGTGGGTCCCCAGGCACAATCCGAACTCAGGCACGCTTGTAAATACTGCAGATACGATCACGCTGATGTGAGTAATAGCATGACCACGTTAGGTCCGACCCAGCGATAACCCTGCCAACAGCTTTGATGCCACGTTCGAAGCATGCGATTTTGTTGGTTTCTTTCGGTTTTGCACACACAAAACCAGCTGTCTGGGGATGTGAGACCGAGCAACGCGTGACACGGAGAGGTAGCGTCCCGTGGGACAGGCGTGACACTGACCGGCGCGTGGCACGGTGAAGATAGTGTCCCGTGGGGCAGGTGTGACACTGACCGGCGCGTGGCACGGTGAGATAACGTCCCGTGGGGCAGGTGTGACACTGACCGGCGCGTGGCACGGTGAGATAACGTCCCGTGGGGCAGGTGTGACACTGACCCGGCGCGTGACACGGTGAAGGATAGTGTCCCGTGGGGCAGGTGGTGACACTGACCGGGCGCGTGGCACGGTGAGATAACGTCCCGTGGGGCAGGTGTGACACTGACCGGCGCGTGGCACGGTGAAGGTAGTGTCCCGTGGGGCAGGTGTGACACTGACCGGCGCGTGACACGGTGAGATAACGTCCCGTGGGGCAGGTGTGACACTGACCGGCGCGTGGCACGGTGAGATAACGTCCCGTGGGGCAGGTGTGACACTGACCGGCGCGTGGCACGGTGAAGATAGTGTCCCGTGGGGCAGGTGTGACACTGACCGGCGCGTGGCACGGTGAGATAACGTCCCGTGGGGCAGGTGTGACACTGACCGGCGCGTGGCACGGTGAAGGTAGTGTCCCGTGGGGCAGGTGTGACACTGACCGGCGCGTGGCACGGTGAGATAACGTCCCGTGGGGCAGGTGTGACACTGACCGGCGCGTGGCACGGTGAAGATAGTGTCCCGTGGGGCAGGTGTGACACTGACCGGCGCGTGGCACGGTGAGATAACGTCCCGTGGGGCAGGTGTGACACTGACCGGCGCGTGGCACGGTGAAGGTAGTGTCCCGTGGGGCAGGTGTGACACTGACCGGCGCGTGACACGGTGAGATAACGTCCCGTGGGGCAGGTGTGACACTGACCGGCGCGTGGCACGGTGAAGATAGTGTCCCGTGGGGCAGGTGTGACACTGACCGGCGCGTGGCACGGTGAGATAACGTCCCGTGGGGCAGGTGTGACACTGACCGGCGCGTGGCACGGTGAAGGTAGTGTCCCGTGGGGCAGGTGTGACACTGACCGGCGCATGACACGGTAAGGTGGTGCCTCCGGCCGAGGCTGGCGCTGGGGCAGGTGTGACACTGATCGGCGCGTGACACGGTAAGGTGGTGCCTCCGGCCGAGGCTGGCGCTGGGGCAGGTGTGACACTGATCGGCGCGTGGCACGGTAAGGTGGTGCCTCCGGCCGAGGCTGGCACTGGGGCAGGCGTGACACTGACCAGCGCGTGGCACGGTGAGGTAGTGCCTCCGGTCGAGGCTGGCGCTGCGGCCGGGGTCGTCCTCCCAGTCGTCCCGGCCCTGTCCCGGCTCGCTCGACTTGCTGCGCGACTTGCTGCCGCTCAGCCGCTTGCGCAACGACCCGAAGAAGGAGCGCTTCTTGGCCCGCTTGCGGCCGCGGCTCGACTCGTCCCCTGCGAGCGGACACAGCGTGCTGTGACGTCACAGAACAGGAGGCTGCCGGGTCAGTGCCAGGCTCGTCCCGTGCAGGCAGACGCGGCGTACTGTGACGTCACGGACGGGAGGCTGCCGGGTCAGTGCCAGGCTCGTCCCGTGCAGGCAGACGCGGCGTACTATGACGTCACGGGACGGGAGACCGCCGGGTTAGTGCCAAGCTCGTGCCCTGCTGGCAGACGCGCCGTGGCACAACGGGACGGGGATCCCTGGACAGCTCCGGCCGCAGGCAACTGCCCGGGCGGTCTGTGTTGAGACTGACTGGAACAGCGTACGCGACCTCCCAAGCAGACATAGCCTGGATCCAGACGATGGATCCCGGATCCCATAGGGTTCTATGTCTGGGATGCTCAGATCGAATCCTGGTGTTTTTGTTTACTCCAGGCACCTGTCTGCCCCAAGATCATGCCCCGCAGGGGTGCGCTACCCGGTGGCACGGATATTTCAACGAGGTTTATCGGCCGACTCTCCAAAAGCCTCACCGCAGCGCCGTTAGTCAAAGGTGGGTTTTGGCGGTTCCGCCGCGTGGCAGATAAGTCAGAGTTTGAGAGACAACGCTTCATAAGCACACCTGCAGACCGCACTGCGATGTGACACGCTGCGGCGAGCCTTCCCTCGCAGGAGCACAGCCAAGGGGAGATCAAGACCGCAGTCGCGCAGTTTCAGACACGAACAAACACACTGCAACACATGTGGAGCGACCCCACCGCTGCCGCGGCAAGACCGCAGCACCCAGACACGCAAACACGCGACATTGGCCGGCTGGCCAGCGACGGAACACGTGACGCCTGTCGTACCGGACGACGGGGAGTGGCCGCTTCTGCCTGCCTCCTGCACGTCTGAGCCTGCCTCCGACGTCTGAATGGAGTCGTCCAAGTTGTCCTGCAACGACACGGACGTGGGTCATCATACGACAGGATCGCTCAGGGAGGGGCGCGCAGATGGTTACAGCGGATGCAATCGCCGGTAACACGGGACGCGGGAGTATGTGATGAGCCATTGACCCGCCCGCGGTGGCAAGTGGGTTAGGAAGAGGCCGCTACACACGTAAGTATGAGGGCAACGAGGAGCACGTGCCCCATGGCGATTCCTCGCTCGGGCAGTGCCGTGCGAGACATCAGTGGCTAACAATTGGTCACAACTGATTGACGTCATACATCAATTCCACGGCATTTTCTATTATTCTGGTTTAGTACTATTTCGTTGTAACGCCCAGACTGCGATTTTGTGCACAAGTCTTCGCCGAAGAATTAAGGATTCCAAGCACGTCGTCTCAGTCAACGCAATATCAACGCATAAGGAATGCGTCACACACGGGACATTTTAGCAGCAAACAACGCAATAACGTTTCGAGAAAAACAACACCGCAACTGAATGTCCACAGTCATGCGACGCACACTGCTACGTAGAGTGAGCTGCGTTCATACGTTCGAAAGTCAGCTACGACCTTCGCACCATCGACCACCGATGCATTAAAAGCACGAGCCCCGTTCGTTGAGGCATGCCTGCTGCCCACCACCAAAACGCAGCTCGTCATCAACACGTCCGAGGTGGCAGCCCGTTACTACCAGTCCAGAGTCACTGAGTGACCATCGCCACCTCCGCAGGGACCGCTACGCTACCACCACCGCCACCGGCACCACCCAACAGCCGCGCTCCTTCCTGGACAGCATCGTGAACTGCAGAGCCGCTGAAGGCAGCACATTGTACACGGCACACAGCACCGAACGCCACGCACGGAATCCAAGCCACTTCAAATCTGTGCTGGCTGAGCAGGCAGTGCGTGATAAGAGCGTCCTGTACTGCTGACGAGAGCACCCTGTGAGAACGCTACTCGTGACCACCAGCATCCACATGGTGGGAATAATGCAGAGATCGTTCGACGACCGAGCGTGAGAGAAGCATCCCGCCAGGCCACCAGGAGCGAAGGCGAGCATCATCAGTCGGAGCTCCTGCAAGGCCAACTGTTAGCCTTGTGTTGGCAACTGCTGGCATACGAGAGTTGTTACAACTCTTGTATGCCAGCACCCGATGAGAAGACCATTCGGTGCGAGTGTAAGCGGACCCGTGTGAGGAGCAGCCACGTGATGAGAACGCGCGGTGCGACCAGTGGCGGTGCCAGGGGCAAACAGCGCGGGGCGAGCAGCGCGGGGCGAGCGGCGCCGCGGCTGGGGGAGATCGCATGCTTTCCCACCTCCGCCGCCAGCAGAGCCCCAGGGGGAGCCTCCCTCCCGAAAGCAGCGACCGCACACCGAGCGCCGGCCGACACCGAGAAACAAGCGGTCTGGCGAGGAGGCGGCGCCCAAAACAAAACGTACAAACCTTGGCCGGCACTTCGACCCACAGGCCGTCGTTATTGCGCTGAACCTATAAAAAAGAAGCTATGATGAAGCGATGCGGGCGGCGCGGCGGCGGAGCACAGACTGGGGATCGCTCTATCGGCGGCAGGGCAGTCAGCGTGGGGGGGGGGGGGGGCGGTCTCCCTACTGCCGCGGCCGGTTCTCGACGGAGGAGTGCGATCCGTGCTAGAGTGGCCTGCACTACCGGGAGGAGTCGCGGGACCGGGAGGGGAGATGGGGGGGGGGGGGGGGGGGGGCGACGGAGGGAGCGCAGCCAGCATCGCGAGGACGACTCGGTCCCGCACCGCCGAGAGGTCACGGGACCGACGGCGAGGAGAGTCACGAGGCGACGGAGGACGCTCGGCCGCCATCACGGGGATGACTCGGGTGAGGACAGAGCCAGGAGAGTGGCCAGAGCGGTCGGAGCCCGGCGGTGCAGCCAACATCGGACCAGGGTCAGCTCGGTGACCAGCAGCGGGACAGCGACGGCCAGGCCTCGGGACGACAGCCACAGCCAGCAGCAGCCACAGCCACAGCCTGCAGCGCCGCAGGGCGAGCGGGCAGCGACACGGCTGGACTGCTAAAGGCGCATGCCGCCGCGATAGTTCGGGACCGGCCGGGCTCCCGGCTATGTGGGGCGGCAGCGCGCCAACGCTCACACGCCACGCGCCTTCTAGGTCAGTTTACCAGATATGCCAGGTCCTCGTGCAATGGAATGTAAACGCATTTTAGAGTGTTTAGAAATTCTGGCCAAACTACCACTTGCCGTCTACGCTTTTAAGCGACCCGTGCTTACTTTTAGGAGACGTTATTGAGAAAGCAACACAAAAGAGCGACGTACCGGGGTGTGAGAGCAGTGTCATGTAAGTCGAAACGGGGTAAGCGAACATGGCGGCTCGTAGCACAATGCACAATCACGGGGTCAATCACCTTACAGCGATTCAATGACAAAAAACTCCATCAATTGGCCACATACGCCTTAAAAAGCAGGGAAAGCAGGTATAGGACACTGACGACACGACGACACCATCAGTAAAGGTCCTGTGTTATTATTCACTGCCGTAGGGGCAGCGGACCCTCGCAGTTCAGAACCCTCTCACATGGTGTAAAAATATTGTGTAATGGGGCAGGGGAGCCCGAAAATTCCTTGTGACCCGGAGCGGGTAGCAGGCAGTCGGGTCTACCCAGGTCAGGTCAGGTCAGGTCGGGTCAGGTCAGACCCGATCAGGTCAGGTCAGGCCAGCTCACCTTCACAGACGGCAGGTCCACGTTCTCCTGGCAGATGGAGCGCGGCGGCAGAGCGACGGGGCGGGCAGAGCGGCGGAGGAGGGGCGTTAGTGTCACGCGCGGCCGGCGCCGCCACGGCCGGCCGGCACGCACCGCACGGCCGGCGCGTGCCGGCGCCGCGTGCGGCCGGCCGCCGGTCACGGCACGTCATGGCGCCGCCCGGCTCGCGGCGGCCGCCGGACAGTGTCCAGACAGTGTCCGGCCGGTGCACCACAGAAACGGCCGTACAACTACATGGCAGGCGTTAGTAATGTCATGCAGAGAGGGGCGGAAAGTTTACGTAGTGTGGCAGCTGTCCAGTCGCATTGCTCAGGGAATGACGCTAGTCAGTGCTGAGACACGCCGCACGGCGAATGTCAGAACAAGACCGAAAGAGCACGGAAGGGAAGTTACAAACTCGATTTTGCCCTAAATTCTGGCCTAAAATGTAGCCATGACGCGCACCTTTCAGATCCCATCGTTCTTTACCAACACATTAGACCAACACCATCGCGCCTTGTGGCGACCCGGTCGGCCGAGAGTTACTCCACGGCTCTGCCAAAGGCAGCACACCACAACGCATGCCGCCGGGGACAGAGCACGACCACACATACACGCAGCGAGCAAGAGAGACTCGGGAGGCAGCGCGGCGGCCGGCCCAGCGCCGCCGGGCCCGGCGTCGCCCGCTCACCTTCTTCGAGCTGTGAATGATGAGCGTGCTCTTCTTGGCGTTCGGGCGAGCCTTAGAGTCCACGTCCTTGAGCGCCATGCTCTTGACGAAGCGGCCGTCGTCATCATCTGCGAGGGTGCCCCAGAAAGGGGCGAGTCAGCGAAAGTGGACGCGCTACACCAAGCGTCGCCGCCAAGGCAGGACCCCCATCAACATGTGCACCACCAAACATCAACATCAAATGATACGGTCATTATAAACATCAGTCTCTGAGCTACGCACCAACAGCCGCCGCGACTTCGAACACGAGCCCCAGGCCTGACCCTAGGCTGTTGTTACTGCGTCCAGGCTCATGTATTCCACAGCAAGAAATGACATGGCAGGATCGGCATTCAAACATTTCGGGCACGAGTGTTACAGTCCACCTCATGTATGTTCACAACCTGACCACTAACACTCGTCGCGCAGCTCCTGGTAGAGCCCATCATAATGCAGCACAGACAAAAATCTGGAAAGTCTGAACACGCTGTAGTCCAGCGGCCGGCCGGGCTGCATCAGAGCACGGCGGTGCATGGCTAGCCCACTAACACGGATGATGTTGGCGACTGTCAGCAGGGAGCATGGCCAGAGGTAATGAGTCCCCTCCAGGTGGGTGTAGCGCTGGGTTCACCCACACCACAGGGGCGTACTGCACGGGTCCGCTCACACCACAGGGGTGTAGTGCGTGGGTCTACTTACCCCCTCCAGGTATATGTATAGTGTTGGGTCTACTTACACTCCATGGGTGTAGCACGTGGGTCTATTTAACGCCTAGGATGGGGCGTCTGATCCGCTCGAACCTTCCCGGGCCGGGCGTGGGGTTCGTGTCCGCCATTCCACAACTCAAGCTCATCACACGCGACCTAATGAGACCCGCTGAAACGTAGCGCTGTGTGGATCTCTCAAGCTACCCGAGGTGCCGTGTGGGTCTCCCCACGTCTCGAGCTGGTGCCGTTCCACTCAACCCCCGCGGGCGGTGCAGCCGGTCCACTCACCCCCGCAGGGAGTGCAGCCGGTCCATTCACCCCCGCAGGGAGTGCAGCCGGTCCATTCACCCCTGCAGGGAGTGCAGCCGGTCCACCCACTTCTGCAGGGAGTGCAGCCGGTCCACTCACCCTGCGGCCGCGTGTAGGTGGTGCGCGTGGTCTGCAGCACCTCGCCGGAGGTCAGCAGGCGCTCGGAGGTCTGCGTCACGCGGTGCGGCAGAGCCCCCTCCTCTACTGGCGAGCCATCCTCGTCCACGAACAGAAACTGCAGCACAGCGCGCGTCGCGCCGCCGTCACGACACTGTGATGCAGCCGTGCGGCCGGCGCCCCAAGCGTGCAGGTCCGCGATACATGGTCAACACGAGGAGTGCGCTTACAAATACAATTATCGGTCGTATTGTTTGAGATATCGAACCTTCACGGGATTCGTCCAGACTTTCAGTCGTTATCAACCTATTTGTCGCTATGGTACGCTTCACGTATTTGTCGCAGTGGGGTTTTGGACAACGCACCGCACAAACGGCGAGCGGCATTTCTGAACACCAAAACAGGAGCGTCGGTGAAAACGAAGACGACTGCAATGCAAGTCCAGCACTGACACCTGCACCCGACAGGTACCCGATCACTTCGGCTAAGCCACTGCCTCGAAACCACGGCCGTCTCCGGCGCCTGGTCCTGGCGCGCCGCAGCCGCCCCATCAGCCCGGGGAGCGTACCTCGACCGTGAGCGAGCCCGACACCGGGTCCTCCTCGTAAGGCCGCGACAGCAGCGGGATGATCTGTCGCTGACTCGGGTTGATCAGCAGCTCCTCGATGCCGACGATGCCCAGGCCCAGGAAGTTGGTGTCGCGCGGCTTCTGCTTGTCGAACACCTCGAACAGCAGCTCGCCCGTGTTGGGGGACAGGTCGCTGGGGGAGCGCGCGCCGGTCACAACGGTGGGACGCGTGGAGCACACGGAACGGTCGGCTCCGTTCGAACAGCCCAGCCACTGTCAGAATGGCGGCCTGCACGCACGCCACAACGGGAATACACACACACGCACGAAAAACAATACGGGAATGGACAAGAGCACCGTAAGTTGATGAGCACACACACAGTGACCACGGACGACAGGCTCGCGCATGAACGAGAACAGTGCACTTTATCGGAGCAACTTTAAGTAAACTTAAGGTTACTGTCCTGCCAAAGCACCGGTACACCAATGTCCCAGATAATGTGAGAGGTCGAGCTTCGGGTGCAGCAGGCTCATCCTGGTCCCACGGTCCGCAACGTGGGGAAGGGGGGGGGGGGCGGGACGAGGGGGGCACGGTGCTAGCCCATTTCACATTCAATGTGCTGAGTGGGGCATATAAAAACAACGTGGAGCAGCAGCCTCGCGCGTGACCAACCGCTATTATTCGAGGCCCATTCAGTTACCTCGCACGGTGAAGTGTCACTGGGGCAAAAATACGGGGTCAGAGATCACATAACGTGTCTCATCGTGGTTATCATATGGCCACATAGCAAGCCTAGCTCAAGGCAAGACATGATAACACTAAATTCGATGAGTAAGAGTGCTGATACGTCACCTGAGGTCGTTTCACGGCCTTTTCTGACCTTCACCCCCATAACCTCGACCCTCGACGCTTGGTTCATGATATGGCAGCTTTGAGGACTAATTTCACGGCGATTTCAAGATTTGAGATGATTTGACATAACAAAGACCCGTGCAAAGGCCAATGACATTAGTAATGTCCAACATTTAACTCCTTCACACCTTTCAAACCATTATACAAGTTGCAACATCCAGCCCCTCACAATCAAATCGGCAGATCAAGCCAATTCAAACGGATATTGATCGCCCTGTCACTTCTTTTCCCGAACCATTGGTCCGATCTACGTTTCTTGGCCAATGACGTCATCAGTCGCATAAAATGTCTAGCACGTGCCCAGGTGGCCGGTTGAATATCCATGGCTGGGGCGGGGAGAGGCCAGTTTGACCCTCCGAGATTTCAGCAAGTGAGAGAACTGGGGACAACAAATTTACATGGTGGATTGGACTGTACGTGAACTCACTTGTCAGAATTTGAGGTTCCTAGGTAATGACCTTATAGTCAAATAAGGTCAAACAAGGTAAAAATCCATATCGGTGCCTCACTTGCCGTCAGACCTCCTCATGCAACTTCCGTGACGCTAGACACCTGTTCTAAGCAAAATGCCTATGAGACCAGTGACCTTGTTTAACATTTATAAGGTCAAGGTGATCAATACCTGCGAGATTGCTCCTATTTTACCATTCAACTAATCGTCAGGGATTACAATGGACCATATGCTCCTAAAACAAGATGTTGACCTGGGTCACTTTAGGGCAGTGACCTTGTCTCACCTTTAACACGCGCTCGGGTGGGGGTCAAATTGACCCCCGAAGCTTTTTCCACAATGGTTTCCGAACGGCGCGGCGCAGCCGCGCCAAATTTGAATAGCTGTAGACAAATGAATAGCGGATCGTTTGGCGTAACAAATTAAGATGTACCTTGTAAGGTCGCTGACCCATGGCAGGTCAAAGTCAGGCCATGGTTTCAGCGAAGGCAATTTCTAGGGAATCCTTCAATCTGATCCAACAACGAAGTGTTAGACGAAGCCATGCATCTCTGAGATGCTTTCTTAGGCAACACAACAGTTGAATGAACACATTACATTTACCAGAGGTTAGATGTGAAGGTCACACCAAGGTCAAAACCAACCTATTTTGTTGCTCCAGGGCTTGCTGTATGGGATAGTTTCTGGTGCTCATTTCGAACTTATTAACAGCAGGAACCGCATTATATATCTTCCATGGACTTCTTATAAGTCAGAACAGTTTATTAACCTAAAATAACCCAGGTCAACATTTTATTTTAGGAACATACTGCCTAGCGTAATCTTTGTCGCTTAGTCAAATGCCAAGCTCGGAGCAATCTTGTATGATTTTGGTCACCTTGACCTTTAAAAGGTCAAAGTCATTAACCTTACATGAAAATGTGACCTTTTGCTTAGAAACGGTAATCTAGGTTCAAGAGGCATTTTGGAGACCAACCTGGAACTTGACCTAGTTTGACCTTTGTTGACCCAAAGATCATTACATAGGAACCTGAAACTTTGACCTAAGTGAGTTCACATGCCGGTCAACACACTCTGTAAATTTGGTGTCTCTAGCTCTCTTAGTTTACGATATCTCAGGGGGGTCAAATTGACCCCCACCCGAGCGAATGGTATCTAGCCGGCCACCCGGGCGCGTGTTCAGAAGTCAGTTAAAAAATTCTGTTGCGGTCCATGTCATTAATACATTTGAAATGAGCACCAAAAACTGCCCCATAAAACAAGAATGGGGTTAAAACGCAGGTTAGTTTTAAACTCGGTCTGACTTTCATACCTGACACAAGGTCAATGGAATGGGTCGCAATGATAAATCAGTATAATACTTGGTTTATTGCCTAAAAAACTATCTCAGATGTGTACGGCTTCGTCCGACACACCGTTCTTTACATCACAATGAGCGATTCAATAGAAATGCCCTTCGCTTGCAGCCATGGCCTGACTTTCACCGGCCATAGGTCAGCGACCCCACAAGGTACATCTGATTTTTGCATCAAAAGATCCGCTATTCAGTTCTCTACAGCTGTGCAAAGTTTGGTGCGGTTACGCCACGCCGTTCGGAAATCATGCTGGAAAAACCTTCAGGGGGGTCAATTTGACTCCCAACCGAGCGCGTGGTAAATCTTCCAGCCTGCGGCACCCGTTATAATGTTCGCGTGGCTTTGAAACCAGCACCAAGTGGATCACTGTGCTCTCCATGTAAGTAACAGCAACACACGAATAAAAACATACCACAATGTGTAAAGTCATTGAAGGAAGCTGGGCACATCATTCCGACCAAAAGTCTAGCCAGATAAGTTCGTCAGCGTGCCTTTATTCTTCCGTCACAAGAGCTAAGGTCCACGACAATCTAACCACTTATCACTGGCATGGGAAACGTTTTATATTTACTGACCGATTTACCACAGTTGGACACCATTAATTAATTGGGTTCTGAGCCTGACACTAGTCTTGCATGACCTCTGTTCATGAATCGATGTGCCCTCCAGTCATGTGGTTGATTGACTGGCACAAGGTCAGGTCAGTCGTATCATACCAAAATCTATACGTGGCGATAAAAAACAAAGAAGATGCTTGAAGATGTCTTTAGAGGCGCGTCGCGACGCTACGCACTTTGCAAACGCCGTTAATATCGGTGACTTCACCCGGCACTGAGGCTGTTTTCGGGAAAATGCGCTGAATTGATCGACAGCTCCCAAAACGTTGGCGGCAGGCCGCCCAAAGTTCAGAAGTTATTCCAAAAGTTCGGAGGGGAGTAATTTTAACGCCAGGCGGTCGCACCCCTGCAGCCATCCGCAGACCGCCGCCTTCCGATTGAACAAAAATAATGCACGCCCGGCGGCGCATGGACGGACGAGAAAGATAGGTCGACCGCGCCCACGCCCGCGGCAGCGGCATATTAGCAAGGAGGGGCTTGATGACGAAGCCATGCAGCAGCAGATCATACAAACGGCCGGAACTGTCGGGAAGATGGCACGCTATAGGCCGACCAACAGTTTCCTGCATATGCGTTTACAAGGTCATCGCATAATCCCGTCCCGGATGAGTTTTGCGGGAGCACGACCAGCGCCAGCCTACCCGCCGGGCGCGTGAGCACCAAATCATGAGGACCATCTGGAAGCGTGGACGCCCCGCCGCGTCGGCAGGTGAAGACAGCCGGGACGTGGCCGCTTACATGAGAAGGGAGCGTGTCGGACGACAGACAGTACTGGCGAGCTATCGCTGCCCATGGCAGACGGACGAACAACAGCACAACGGGCGCTACTAGGGAAGTACGTGCCTGACACGGCGTGAGCAGAAGCACAGTGACGTCTGCATCTGACGCTGTGCCCAGCTACGAAATCCGGATTCAGCAGACGTCTTCGACAGCAACGCATTGGCCGAACCCGGCAGCGAAAGCCCGTAACAATAATAGCTTTGGGAGAGAACGTGCAGAGAGAAGGGGAGGGGGTCCTGTTTGTGGCCTGGCAGTGACCAGCACAATAGGACAGCGGCCCGCGAACAAACAGACGGAAGAATAGACGGACGGACGGACGGAAGAACGGACAGATGGACGTAATAACGAACGAACGGACGGACGGACGGACGGACGGACGGACGGACGGACGGACGGACGGACGGACGGACGGACGGACGGACGGACGGACGGACGGACGGACGGACGGACGGACGGAAGAACGAACGGACGGACGGAAGAACGAACGGACGGACGGAAGAACGAACGGACGGACGGAAGAACAGACGGACGAACCGAAGAACAGACGGACGGACGGTCACGGGGCGGGCGGCCCCGGCCGGTCGTCCATGCCAGCACCCGTCAGCCGACTCAGCCCGGTTACGATAACAAACAGGTGCGTCGGCCGGCTGGCCTGGGCTGGGCTGGGCTGGGCTGGGCCGGGCGGGGCGCCCGGCACCTGGGGCATACGCCGCGGCCGGCCGCATCACCGCACGCGGCCAGGCCAAGCTACCGGAACGGCTGACACGGGGAGGCGCCTGCCCGCTGTATATGGACTAGAACGGCAGCCTCTGCGCGGCGCACAGCCACGACAGGGCGGGGAGTCAGCGGTCGGCGGCACGCAAAAACACGGCCGCACTATCGGCGAACTTCGGGCGCTGTCTGGCGCTGACTACAGCGGAAATATATGGCGAGGTGGCAATATGCTCCAAGAAAAAACCTGACCTCGGCATTCGGCTGTCTATGGCGGCCGGTCGCCGAGCGGCACTCACAAGATGAACGCCTCGTCCCAGAACGGGTGGTCTGTGTCGAGTCGGGTCTCCGTCTGGAACTTCTGGGCCGGCTCATCCATCTCCACCACGCAGTACGGTTCCTTGCAGCCTGAAACACGGGTGCCCGGGCGGCCGTCAGACGGGACCAGAACTGTGGTACATCCGGGTCAAAACGGTACTGAGGTACCCCGGGTCAGGAGAGGTCCGAGGTACACCCGAGTCAGGGCAGTGTGGAGGTACGGCCGGGTCAGGGCAGTACCGAAAATCATCCAGGTCAGGCCGGTTCAGATGCGCGCTCGGGTTAGCTCAAGGACGTGCGGCCTGTCCTTACAGTATCGCAGAACGCAGACCGCCACAGAGTAGCAAACGCTTGCAGGTTTAAGAAAACCTGCAGATCTGCACCATCGACCAACCGTGAAAGTTCAGGGGCGGTCGAAGGCAAAGGTCAAGGCACCAGCTACGCCAATCTGGAGGAGAGCCTGTTACCTAACACTCTGAGCTCCTGACTATGTATGCACAAACGTGGGCGCGTTCTTCAGCGGAATGAGCTAGAAGCACAGAGCTCGTGTGAGGCTGACGGAGCCAGTGGATATCCACGGACCGCGGGTGTGAACTGAGGCCAGACAGGTGGAACGGTGCAGAGCAAACGCTCAAATTGCCTTCACGTGTGGGACACGGCATATTTCCTTAGCATATCAATTTCCTATCATTACGAATGAAAAGCTAGCAAAATAGCTTTACGCTCAGCACGAATATTAAGAAGCCAGACTGATGTGTCTTCGGGCACGGCGATTTTCTTTCAGAGAAACGGCTCCGTCTTAAGTAATTGGTTTCGACCTCCGATTGGTCGCAGTAACTCGGACTACAAACGGTGGAGCGAATAGGAAGACACTAAACCAGAGCATGTCAAGCGTTACTACCCTAACTGAACACGTGACCATTCAGTGCATGCGAACGTTTCACCGACCTCGGGCAGGCTCTTAATCATAGCAATTCATATGCAAGCCAGTAAGATGTTTTTCGCGACGGGCCTTAACGGGGTGACTATAACCGTGAGTGATATCACCTTATAGATGATACTCAGACACAACCAAGAGAGAACGCCACCTTTTGGGAACTCATACGAATGGGTCCCACCAATGCACCGGAATGTTCCCCTTTGAAAAGATAGCAAGCAAGTGTGCACTGATGTTCGGCACACGCGCACAAAGTCACATATGGCAATGCTCGCATGATGGCTGGCATTGGAGCTGACAACGCCTGGCAATACGAGGCCGGAATATCCGCAAAATAGGCATTGTTTACGTTCTCGGTGACTGTGAAAAAGTTTGGGAAGACGCAAAGATTTTGGGAGCATATTAGCCCCCACGAACAGGGCTACACTCAGTGTGGCTTTTACGTGGCAATATCAGATTTGTCCAGTGTTGCATTCGGGACCTGAGACTGGTAGTCCCCGGTCAAGAACTAGCACACCTATGAGTCACAGTGCCGGGGTCACTTTAAGACGCGTAGACGGTACGTTCGCGATCATAAAGCAGCTGGACTTTGCCTGCCTGGTTGGCGAGGCCTTACACAGAGACGTAACCTGTAAAAAGCGTAACTGGCCGGTCCGGGACGCTGAAGCCCCATAAGTTCCTGTCAGTTGACGTTTAGACCCGCTCGACCCACGACCTTACCCGTAACTTAACTATTTTGGCTCAACTCAGTACTGAGGAGACTAATTTACGGGAAGCGCACCCACAACAGGAAACACAACGATGTGGAAGACCTACGCACTGATCTAGGCCACTACACCAACGACGGTGAGGTACAGGTTTCGCGATATATGCAGAGAGGGGGGGGGGGGGGGAGGTACGAAGGTTGAGGGGAGAGGGGAGCGGGGACTGAGAAACAAACGGAACGGAGGAGAGGCAGCGAGAGGGGACACCTTGCAACAGTTTCACACTTGAGTTTCCGCAGCAGCACATCTGGCCGATAATTCTGATACACCTACCAAAATGGTCACGTGGACCAGTACACACGCTGTTTGTTTTGCTCCCCGTAGAGCCAAGCGGCGATTTACGGGTGTGGTGCGGCCAAACAACGGTCAATGACGTCACCACTCAAAGCAACCTGCTCCTTTACGCGGTGTTTCGTGAAGCCGATGGTGATTCAACAGTGTCCGCCCCATCCATAACATGTGTCGTTTTTTGCTTCAATTCCGGGCCATCGGCAGACTTAAACACATTAGCCTTCTCGGTGACGCACTATCCCTTGGGCCAGGTCGGAGACCTCGACGCAACCAAAGCAAACGACACGTTTCAGTCATCGAGCTCATGGTCAGGCGCTGGAGACGGTCGGGAGCTCGAAGCGCCAGCAGGCTTTTGCCTACAGTACACAGCCACGCCACAGCGTGCCTTATTTGGCCGCTCGCTTTCAGCCGCAGCGCGTCGGGTCATTCTGAATCGTTTAGCATCAGCGGAAGTGGGCAGACCCAACATGGCAGCTGGCGTTGTTTTCGTAACGCGAAAATCAAGAGGACGCTGTAACCGTCATTACTGAGCGTCGCATCACCATCTGTGCTTCGCACACTTAATACCCGGCGCTAATAGGGAACCTAATACCGCTCAACGTTAAGGTGAAATATATCAAGGAATTACCTACATCACTCTAGAACAGTGGAAAGTCTTCAAATGTTTTCCAAAAGACGTACAAATTAGGCATGTGACAGCAGGCAACAGTACCACGCGCCATCACCGACCATGGGTCTTCGCCTTATTTCGCCCCCCTCCCCCCCCCCCCCTCCCCGCCCAGCTGCATGCCGGTCGGCTGACACCCCGCGGCGGGAGCCCCCCCCCCCCCCCCCCCCCCGGGGGCCCGTCGGCCGCTTGACCGCCGCGGGCCGCGAATGTCGCGGCCGCGGCGCCTCCACACCCGGAAGAGGTCAGCCGTGCTGCGGCTAACTGCGGCACGACGATCGATGGGGCTGGGAGGAGCCGGCCGTCTCCAGGCCGCCGTCCAACGGCCGACACGGCGCGGACGCACGGGGCAGGCAGCTCTGACGTCCAGTGTGAAGGGATGTGACGTACGGGACGTGGTGGAAGATGTGACATCTGGTGTGGGGAGATGTGACTTCAGGTGTGGCGATATATGACATCCGATGCGGAGAGATGTGGTGGGGAGATGTGCGACCTGGTTGGGAGAGATGTAACAGCGATGTGGGAAGATGTGGTGGGGAGATGTGCGATCTGGTGTGGGGAGATGTAACGCCGATGTGGGGAGATGTAACGCCGATGTGGGGACATGTGACTTTTGGAGCTGAGAGATGTGACGTCTGGTCCGAGGAGACGTGATTTCAGGCTTGGGAAGATGTGTCATGTGGTGTGGGGAGATGTGACTTTTGGTACGGGGAGATGTTACATCCAGCCCTGGGAGATATGACGCCTGGTCCGGGGAGATGCAACGTCCCGTGCGGGGAGATGTGACGTCTGGTGCGGGGAGATGCCGCGTCTAGTGCGGGGAGATGGGATGTCTGGTGTGCAAAGATATGACGTCTCGTACGGGGAGATGTGACGTCTGGTGCCGAGCAATGTCACGTCTGGTGCGAGGAACCTCCCGCCGGCTACAGGGAGACCTAACACCGGGTACAAAAAGGTCGCACGACTTCTATAGGCACGTCCACCGATAGCTGCAAGGAGTCCGCACATCCGAGTGCGGGGTGTCTAACGGCATGAGGGTAACGCCGAGAACATGGTGGTATCATATCCACAGTAAGGTCTAACGTCCGGTCCCACAAACATGCCATCACACGCCCGGAGGTTTCAAGCCTGTTAGGAGGCCCGGTGCCGGGTGTAGGCGGGACTAACAGCGACCAGCGGCGGGTCTAACGGCTGGCAGGAGGTCCGGTGTTGCATGACGGCGGGAATAACGCCGACCAGCGGCGGATCTAACGGCTGGCAGGAGGTCCGGCGTCGAGTGTAGGCGGGAATAATGTTGACCAGCGGCGGGTCTAACGGCTAGCAGAATGTCCGGTGTCGCGCGTAGGCGGGACCAGCGTCGACCAGCGGCGGGTCTAACGGCTGGCAGGAGGTCCGGTGTAGCGTGTAGGCGGAACCAGCGTCAACCAGCGGGAGGTCTAACGGACGCGCCACTCCCGGACGGCCGGCAGGATACAGGGGAGCCGCCGCATTCCGGCCGCCAGATCGGCCCCGCCCCGATTTAGATCCCGTGCGCCGTCGAGGAGTCTCTGACGTGATGGGCTGACTCACCGCCGGCGGCCGGGCCGTGCAACCCTGCACGTGCATTCGGCAGCGACAGCTTACAGCTCGGCAACCCCGCCCGGTGTGACAGACCGTGTGGGCCGCCGCAGCACGTGCGTTGTTTGATGTGAAAGGACAGGTGCAGCGCAGTGAAGTCCCCCGTCGCATGCGACAGTCCCCGCACACCGCAGCAGTCCGCTCCCCGTTGCGTGTGACAGTCCCCGCACACCGCAGCAGTCCGCTCCCCGTCGCGTGCGACAGTCCCCGCACACTGCAGCAGTCCGTTCCCCGTCGCGTGCGACAGTCCCCGCACACCGTAGCAGTCCGCTCCCCGTCGCGTGTGACAGTCCCCGCACACCGCAGCAGTCCGCTCCCCGTCGCGTGTGACAGTCCCCGCACACCGTAGCAGTCCGCTCCCCGTCGCGTGCGACAGTCCCCGCACACCGCAGCAGTCCGCTCCCCGTCGCGTGTGACAGTCCCCGCACACCGCAGCAGTCCGCTCCCCGTCGCGTGCGACAGTCCCCGCACACCGCAGCAGTCCGCTCCCCGTCGCGTGTGACAGTCTCCGCACACCGTAGCAGTCCGCTCCCCGTCGCGTGTGACAGTCCCCGCACACCGCAGCAGTCCGCTCCCCGTCGCGTGTGACAGTCCCCGCACACCGCAGCAGTCCGCTCCCCGTCGCGTGTGACAGTTCCGCACACCGCGGCAGTCCGTTCCCTGTCGCGTACGACTGTCCCTGCCTACTGCCGCTGGCCAGTTTCCTGCTGGGTATGGCACACCGCGCGCCGTTCCTCCCAGAGCCGACACGCCACACGCAGAACAACCAGCTGTGGGACCTGCCGGCCGGAGAGTCGAGGTGCGGCCGCGGCGGGCCCGGCCCGCGCACAGAACCCATGGTGGGCCGACCTCTCACCTTTGGTGGCGCCCAGACCGGCCGCCTTCAGCACCTTAACCAGCAGGCGCCGGGTGGTGCGTTCGCCGCCGTCGCCCTCCGACGGGTCCCGGGACTGCAACAGCGTCGGACGTCAGTGAACACGACTGACGTTACTAGCTCAGCGGCCGGCCAACACGACATACATCATTGGCTCAGCGGCCGGCCAACACAACACACGTCACTGGTTCAGCGTCCGGCCAACACAAAACACATCACTGGTTCAGCGGCCGGCCAACACAATATACATCACTGGTTCAGCGGCCGGCCAACACAACATACATCGCTGGCCCAACAGCCGGCCAACACATCACACGTCACTGGCTCGGCGGCCGGCCAATACAACACACGTCACTGGCCCAGCGGCCGGCCAACACAACACACGTCACTGGCTCAGCGACCGGTCAACACAACACACGTCACTGGCGCAGCAACAGGTCAACACAACACAATTCACTGGCTCAGGGACCGGTCAACACGACACAAGTCGCTGGCTCAGGGACCGGTCAACACAACACAAGTCACTGGCTCAGGGACCGGCGAGCCGCGGGGCAAGTAACGTGTGTTGTGTGACGTGTGTTGTGTGCCGCGTGTTGTGTGTTGTGTGACGCGTGTTGTGTAATGTGTTGTGTGACGTGTGTTGTGTGATGCGTGTTGTGTGACGTGTGTCATGTGACGCGTGTTGTGTGACGTGCGTTGTGTGACGTGTGTTGTGTGACGCGTGCTGTGTGACGTGTGTTGTGTTACGTGTGTTGTTCAAGCCGCACAGCGCGGAACATCAGAGCGGCAGAATCTCCAGCTAGCACACGGCCAGAGCTGTAGTATGCCGTCGCGAGTTCAGGTAACGCTCGTGACATTGCTACAGCCCGCCGTAGCAATCCTCACACGAATGCAAAACTGACGTCATTAACTCGTCTCCTGCATCTGCGACCCGCTCCAATTACCTCAGACCTTCAAAGTTCCCAGCCGCTCGTGAAAGTTGACCGCAAGATCCGCTGGTCTCATTGACTGGCCCGAGTTTTTCCATCATCCCTCCGTGCCCCGCTCCGCCGAACACTCCCAGCTTCTGAAAACCCCAGCCACTGCGTTGGCCTGCCGAGCGGTGCCTCGCGGCCTTGCAGTTCGAGTTTCTTCCGTCGCGTGCGCATGACCCGAGTCGCGGCTCCGCGCTGCCGATCACGGAGCGACGGGGGCGGCGGGAGAGGCGGAGAGGCAAAGCGTCAGCCTCGCGTTCCGCGCAGGTGACGCCGGGAAGCCGACACCGCCGCGCCCGGCCGACCGCGGCCTAATGGACTGGGCACGGCAGACGTCGTGCACGGCGGGCCTGTCATGCCGGGCGCGTGCACACATCGTGAGACATGGATGTCCCGGCGCTGGGCCGCGGGCGGGCAGGCCGGCGCGGCCGAGCGACCACGCACGTCGATCAGAGCTGCCAGCGAGCGGCGGACAGATCCAGGCACAGGTCTGGCGCCGCCCCATCCCAAACGGTGCACGAGCCAAGCCTCGCGGCTCACCGCAGCCCCCCCCCCCCTCCCCTCTCCGCATGTCACGTGCCCTGCCGTCAGCGGCGGCCCCACCCCGGCCCAGGCAGCCCGTCTCCTCCGACCCGGCGCGTCCCGGCCGCCGGCGGGCGGGCGGGCGGCCGCGGCGGCGGCGCCTCCGACCGTGTACCGCCCGCCGACTGACACGGTGCTCCATTAGCGGCACGGACAGGCGCCGACCGATCGCGCCGCTGAGAGTCGCTGGCGACCGCTGGCGACCAACGGCCACCGAGAACGATCGAGAGCGACCGGCGGCGACCGAGGGCTACCGAGAGCGACCGGCGGCGACCGAAAGCGATCGAGAGCGACAGGCGGCGACCGGGGGCGACCGAGAGTGACAGGCGGCGACCAAGAGCGACCAACGGCCACCGAGAGCGATCGAGAGCGAACGGCCGCGACCGAGGGCGACCGAGAGCGACCGGCGACCGAGGGCAACCGGTGGCGACCGGCGGCGACAGGCGGCGACTGAGGGCGACCGGCGGCGACTGAGGGTGACTGAAGGCGACCGAGAGCGACCGGCGGCGACCAGGGGCGACCGAGAGCGACCGGCGGCGACTGAGGGCGACCGGCGGCGACTGAGGGCGGCTGAAGGCGACCGGGGGCGCACCGTCGTCACGCAGCCGTTGCACTGGGCGCGGTTTTACCGCTGCATGGGTCGAGCAGTTCGTGGCGGGACGTGACCACGCAGCTGTGGTGCAGGAGATGGCTTGAATTCAAGCCTCTGACAAATGGGGTGCGAGCGTCCTTTCCTATTCCTCGTCACACATTAGCACCGGTCGGCCACCCTTCCTAACTCACTGGTCGAGCAGATACGCCGCCCAAGACGGTGCGGCCGTGCGGGACGAATTGGCACGCACATCCTCTCATCAACAGCAAGCCGATAACATCCAGGAATAGGATGTGCCAGATGTGAAAATGGGTTGGGCGCTTCAGCCGAGCTCAATGCCAGCGCAGGGCTACGCGCAGCGTGAACAGGAAGAGCTTGGACGGATTTCTGATCCACGAACGTCAGTTCATTATGGCCAGGAATGTAGCTATTATCTAGACATTGTGATCAGGCTGGAATCGATGAAATGTGGGCGAGTGAGGGTACCACACAGCTTCACGAGTGCATTAGGGGACCACCAATGATAGCGACCACACATGAAGATGGAAAAGGCGGCTCTCAGGAGTCCGCTAAAGCTCCACGGGAGACAACAGTACAGATCCTGGGAGAGGTGGAAGATTAGAACGTCAGCTCCTGTATCAGAGGCCAACAGTGCGAGGATAAAAGGGTCTCATCGGGCCGCATATCCAATCCAGTGCGAGAACGCAAACTGTCGCCAAACTCTCGGCACAATAAGGAATGAGGCTGCATATTCGCTATTACCGAGTACGGCGGGTCAGGTCCCGATGTCTGGGTCAGACCATGGTGTTTGGGTCGGGTCAAGGTGTCTGGGTCAGGTCATGGTGTCAGGGTCAGGTCATTGTGTCAGGTTCAGGTCATGACGTCTGGGTGAGGCCCTGGTGTCAGGGTCAGGTCATGGTGTCTGGGTCAGGTCATGGTGTCTGGGTCAGGTCAAGATGTCAGGGTCAGGTCATGGTGTCTGGGTCAGGTCACGATGTCAGGGTCAAGGCATGTCTGGGTCACGTCATGGTGTCAGGATCGGGTCATGGTGTCTGGGTCAGGTCGTGGTGACTGGGTCAGGTCATGGTGTCTGGGTCGGGTCATGGTGTCTGGGTCAGGTCATGGTGTCAGGGTCGGGTCATGGTGTCTGGGTCAGGTCATGGTGTCAGGGTCAGGTCATGGTGTCTGGGTCAGGTCATGGTGTCTGGGTCAGGTCACGGTGTCTCTGCCAGACCACGGTTTCCTGGCCACGCCACGGTATTTGGACACGCTATGGTGCCCCGGCCACAAATCATAGCGTCAGCAGACATGACATTGCAATCGTTGGAGTGCCAGCCGACGTCTGTGACTGATGACAACATCCGTATCGAGATGCTGTCATCCAGACCGCAGGCACCAGCCAGCCGTTGGCGCGGTCAGGGTTGTCTTAATAAGGGAGAGAGGAGACGGCGGCGCTTGGCGAGCACGCGCCACGGCGATTTTTGTCTTTCCATCGCGAGCCATCTGTGCTATTAGGAGAAAAATGCGGGGTGAGGGTGAGACCGCGTCGGCTCCATTGGGGGCAACCGACGTGCGGAAAGGCGGCATTAATACGGGAAGACCCATGTGAATGCGGAAGATCAGTGATCACCCATGGACACTTGACATCAGCGCGGGATGATCCAAACGGCGCGCACCCAGCGCTGCAACAACGCTTCGCAAGCAGCACACAGGAGGTGCCGGTACTGTAGTGGTTAACGCGTCTGCGCTAACCACTGCGCGTCTGGGAAACCAGAGGTACGAGGTTCGATTCCCGCGGTGCCCACGCTTTCCGCCAAAGTGAGACGCAGGCGATGTCATAAAGCCTCAGCAGCTGAGTGCGTCGTACAGCCCCAATGACACACAAGCAGCACACACGCATCGAGCATATCCGCTGTCTCGGTGTGTGAGCCAGTCGGCTCCGATCCGTGGGGCCAAGCGCTTCAGTGCGCGCGCAGACGGCGCCATAGTGCCCCCTGCCACGCCCACTCGGCTGACAACGGGCGCCAGGCCGTAATTAATAGCCGGCTGGCCGCGCTCCAGCGGGACTCGATTGCCCCGGGGCCTCGGACGGACGCCGCCGGGACAGCGTCTCCACACAGCTGGCCCAAGGGAGGGGAGGGGAGGGGACCGGCGCGGCTCGTGCCGCTGAGCAATCAGAGCCCACCCCCGCTTTAAAGCAGTGCGGCACACGCGGCAGCGCCGCCTCAGAACAGGTGTTGCCAGGGCGACTCCCCTCCCTCGCACCGATCGCCCGACACGCCAGCCGGTTACGGTCGCGCGGCGCGGTCATCGACGCTCACAGATGCGGCGCGCCGCCTCGCCGGACACGGGAGAGGCGTCGCTGCTGGGCCGCTCTCCGCACCGGCGGGGTCGGGGCCAGTTGGGCGCCGGTCCGCTCGCCGACGCTGAGAGGGCCGCCCGGTCGATCCCTGCTCGACGCCGCACCGGGCCGACCGCTGAGGGCTCACTGCTCGGCGGCCGGGCGACAGCGGTCGATTGATCACCGATTACTCGTCGACGCACGCACCGGCGACGCAGTTGCCGCTGCCACATCTCGCGTCATTATCGACACGTCGCGCGCCGACCGCCGCAACGGCGCCGGAGAAGCCGACGGGCGGTCGGCGCGGCTCGGGCCTGGATCGCTCGACGCGTCCGGCGCACCGCCGCCTGCCGCCTCCGACCCCGAGCCTGACAGACCTGCTCCCCGGGACAGGCCAACATCAGGTGACCAGAGGCCGGACCGAGTGGCGGCCGCCCGTCGCGCGGGCCGCTAGCGGCCCGGCGGGGGCAGTCAAGCCGTTCACAGCGGCGGCTGGTGAGCGTGGCGACATTCACGGATGGCAGGGCCGCGGGTCCCGCGGCCCGGACACGACCGACGCCCGGCTCGGTCAGGCGCTCGACACAAACGCGGCGTCGTCTCGGGTCAAGCGGGCGACTCGATCTCGGCGACCACTTGAGTCGGCGAGAAGTGACGCGCCCTCCCTTGACGGCCCCTAATGACTCACCCAGCATCCGTTTTCACTGCAGGTAATGCGACGACCGACGGCCTACGCGCGAGGACGAAGAAGGCGCGGGACATCTGACTCTGAGTCAACCGAGCTCCGGACAGACGCTCATCGACTCCCACGACAGGGAGGGAGTCGGTCGACTCATCACCCCAGACGCGACGTCCGTCAGGGTCCGCTGAGTCCAAGCAGTTGGCCGAAAGACTCGCGTGACTCCCTCCACCCGACCGTACATCTCAGACCTCTGCACCCCGCAACAAACCGGTAACCGATCCGATCGGAAGCAGCGGCCGTGACTCAGCCGACTCTGTGACTCAGTGGGCCGACTCTGACTCACCAGGCTGCGGACCCGCTCCAGCTCCTGGCGGCGAACGAACGGCGGGAAGTCGGGCTCGCGCGCGAAGTTGAGGTCGAGCACGGCGCCGCGCAAGCAGCCGGTCACCACCTCCCTGGCGCCCTCCTGCCGGATCTGCTCCTCCAGCGAGCTCGAGCGGCCCTTGTCGTCGGCCAGCTCCAGCTGCATCTGCACCTGCGGCGACGACAGACCGGCGGATCACGAGTCGGCAGGGCACAGGTCAGATCACAGCTCAGCTGGGTCAGAGGTCAGATGGATCACAGATCGGCGGGCTCGAGAGGACAAAGGTCGGAGGTCAGCGGGCTCCGAGGGCAGCGGGTTCAGAGGGCAGGTCGGCGGGCTCAGAGGTCAGGTGGCAGAGGAGCACAGGTCAGCTGCGGGCATCGGTCAGTGGGTTTACAGGTCAGACCTATGGTCCACGGCGCTGCTCCAACAGCGCAGGCAAGCCTGCCCGCCGCCTCCTCCTCCCTCCCCCCTCTCCCCTGGGCTGCCAGACCATTGCCAGCACATTCGGCACAGACAGCAGGCCACGACAACCTCAGGAACGCCCTCATTTGCTGTAGGCGACAGGCCGGATCAAGTCAAGAAGGCCAGCAGCGCAAACTCACGGCAGCGGCAGCACCTGTACAGGCGTTACGGGGGGTGGCCCCTCAGACAGATGGCTAGGCTGCAATCGAGTCCACCGCAACTGCACAAACGGCTGATGATCATTTGGGCTTTAGGGTGCGCCGCCCACAATGGCCATATGGCGTCCATGCACAAGCTGCTGCTTTGGACACGCTGAGCCAACAGCTCTGGAGAAAACAGGGAGCAGCCCAAGCCCGAGCCCGCAACTGAGCCAGCGGGCAAGCCGCCGCGGCCGCGGGGCGCCCCGTCTGCCGCCGCGGCACACTGCGACGGGCCAGGGACGGATGCTCACGGACTCGACGCGGCGACCGAGTCCAGCGCGACTGTGGCCGACGGACTCAGAGTCCACGCGGGCCAGACCGCATGCGCAGCACACAGCCACCGCCGGTGGTGCGTCAGCACACCGGAGCCGAACTGGCCCAGCCATCCAGACGACTGCGCGAAGCCGGACACAGTGGACCTGACTGGCCGGAAACGGCGACCAGGCCGGACAAAGGGGACTGACTGGCCGGAAACGGCGGTCAGGCCGGACAAAGGGGACCTGACTGGCCGGACATGGCGGCGAGGCCGGACAAAGGGGGCCTAACTGGCCGGACCCGGCGGCCAGGCCGGACACAGGGGGCCTAACTGGCCGGACCCGGCGGCCAGGCCGGACACAGTGGACCTGACTGGCCGGACCCGGCGGCCAGGCCGGACACAGTGGACCTGACTGGCCGGACATGGTGGACTTCGGCTTTTTCCACTCGCTCGTGGCTTGAAAGACGTCCTAGTTGTTATAACGGATGTCAGTTTCCGGAAGGAGCTAGCTGTATTCTGTGCGTCAATACTCAGTCGCTGAACGTCCGCTTCTCGGAACGGCAGACGTTAAGTATCTTCATATCCACGGCCTCGTAACAGGCATCATGGATTCCTTAGCGGTGCGCAATGAATCCTTTCATACAGCGACCCACCGCCTCTTCCGAATGGCCGTTATTGCAGCTGCCCCCCTTCAATGCTGTTCTACAACGCACAACGGCTCTATCACACGGGCCACGCCTAAAGGCACGATCTATCAAGGCACATTGACGCGGCAGTGCATACATTCGTCATTGTGTTTCCTCCGCCAGCGGGCTATCGTGATGAGCCGTGCATCGTATACGGCAGACGAGCACATCACATGCACAGTACTGCGCGGGCTGCCCAAAGCCTATCGATCAGCGCGGCCGGCGTGGCAACGACGAGACAGACGGCTTCCGTCGCCGCAGCTTTCCTATACCAGAAATGCTACTGTGCCAAGTGAACACGTCCCGGAGCTGTTCTTACATGCGACAGCGGGACGATGCTCTCCCACGACGCTGTTATCCACCGCGAGCTTTGCATTATGGAAGCGCTTGGGGAGAAGACACCACCTGAAGCGACGAAAACTGCGGTGCTCTTGCATGACGGCACGACCGCCAGATGACTGCAGCAATGTAAAAAGTGTTGCCGCACCAAACAACCCCCGTTGTTCACAAAGACGATAGCGCATGCAGTGGCGCATCCGGATAGCAAACCAGTCTCTTAGTCATCTAGCGTGTGCCTACTGAATAGCTCTCATGTCAGTTGGCAGCGTCCATAGAGACCCGTTCCGACCATAAACCCATGCCGACCGTACCTCCTCACATCGCCCTCCCCCTCCCCCCTCCCCCCGTCATATCTTGCTTGCCGCCGGTGCCGCTGCGGACGTCGTGCAGCGGTGAGCGGGCGGTCGTTAGACGAGGCTCCGACAATAAGCAGCATCAGCCGGCCGCCAGGCAAACCACGCCAGCCGGACCGGTCGGCCGCCCGCCTCTCCGCCGCACCGGCCGGGCCGCCGCCGCCGCCGCCGGAATGTGACGTCGGCCGGTGCGGGCGGTCCGCGTCGAAGAATGCGCGACACCGGCGGCGGGCGCGCTGGGCGGCGCCGCGCTGTGGTCTCGCCGGCCGCAGCGCGACGCCTCCCGTCACGGAGCACGGCCGGCGCACTTTGGCTGTCTGCCCGGGCCAACTGTGCCGGGGCGTCGCCGCGCCGCAGCGGCCCGGCGCCCGGCGCGCCGCGGCGGCTGCACGAGCGGCCGCGTCGCCGCCTCTCGTGTGGCCTCCCCGACGCTGGGAGACAACAGGAAACAGGACAACAGGACAACAGGACAACAGGAAACAGGACAACAGGAAACCGGCAAACGGTGCACAGCAATCAACGCGGCGGGCCGCCACGAAATCGCGCAGGAAATCTCGGCTCAGGGGACTGCTGGCTGCAGCAGCCGCGGCGGCGGCGGCCGGTGGACCCGTGGGCCGGCAGCGCACGGCCGGCTCGGCGTGAAGTTCCGGGAACATCGCGGCCGGCGCGGGTGGGTGGAGACCGCGGGGGCCGCGCCCCCGCCGTGGGAGCCGGCGCACGGGCGGCGTTTTCCGGCTAGGATTATAGCAATGATTCTTTTGTGCGGCTTCAACACTCGATCCTTGCAACACGCCAATCTGCGGTGGGATGCGCGCACTGGGGTTCTTGCCACCGGAGTGGGTCAGCCGGCCGAGCGTGCAGCCAGAGCCGCCCGGGAGACCAGCCGCGAGACCTGACAGGGTCGGATGGGCTACCGAGGGACGCCCGCGTCCGTCACACGAGTTCGACGAACGCTCAAGGACGCGCGGCTTCTGTCACCAACCGAAAGAGCTGGCGGCATCCTACAAACCGGGACAACTGACCAGCGGATCAGCCAGTGGCGGCGATACGACAGCGACCGGAGCACCGCAGCAGACAACGTGCCCGAGGGCCACACTGTTACGGAGGACGAGGCACGGGACAATAGCGGCATTGCTCTGCTCCGAGCGACATTGCTCCGCTCCGTTGCAAACATAACGTGACCCGCCATCACTAAAGCGTAACAAAGGTCAGGAGACTCAGCAACGTTGCAGATGCAACGTAGTCAGGTCTCGATCAAGAGACCGCCAAAACATGTGTCTTTCGCTGCGTTCGACACGAACACAGATGCCGCTCGCTCGACCGCGGAAGCCGCTCGTCGCAAAGCACGTCCAAACCACAAAAACGAAATCGCCGGGCATCGTCAGCAAACCCGTCGGCCACCAGCAATAAACATATGACGTCACGACTCCGTCGGAGACTCGCCCGCCCCCGCGCCGGGTCGCCATCTGACGGCGGCGGTGGCGGCGGCGGCGGCCGCTGCGCCGGAGCCGGCCTCACCTCGGGCCAGCCGTCGAACTTGCCGACGGCCATGGCTTGGTGCGTGAGCGTAGCCACGTTGAGGCGGCCCCGCAGCACGGACACGTCCGTGGTGTATGTGGCCGAGCGGGTCTCGCCGTCCTGCTGGTACGTGACGCGCGTGGTGAGCCGCGGCTGCGCCAGCGCGTCCGCCGTGATGGTCTGCCGGCGCGGGTCACACCCGGTGAGAGGTCGCTTCACGCCTGGTCACAAGGTAGGTCAGACCAGGTCAGATGTCAGGTCACATAGGCCAGAGGTCAGACCATATCGGGTTAGAGGTCAGGTCACGTGAGAGCAGAGGCCAGCTCACACCGGGTCACGGGCCAGGTCAAACCGGGTTTTCCAGTCACGTTGGGTCACAGTAAGCCGCAATGGGGCCCTAGCGATAGAGGCCACGTCGCATTAGCCACCTCACACCGGGTCACGGCAGCACGGCTTCAGGTCAGGCCAGGTCACGGTGGTGGGCCAAGTCAGCCCGGCGCGAGCACTCGGCGGCGCGGCGCAGCCCGCGAGCCCGGGGTTCCCGGGCCGATGTCCCTGCGACCAATATGTCGATGAAGGAGCGGGCTTGTGCTCAGTGATACAGTGCTCCTGTCTTCGCCCCACTGCGCCTTCAACCATTCATGTACCGGGATAGAGACTGCAGTGAGGGTCAGCGCAGGTCAAAGGAAGTAACAATTCTGCGTGAAAAAGGAAAGATTTGTGCAGAATACCCTGCGTATAAAAGAAACCTGCTCCTCCTCCTTCCTGGAAACCTGACACTTCGTAGTCTTTAGTGATAGCCTCGGGAAGGGTTGACAACAAAACGGGGTTGACGCTGAAACGGGGCTCACAACGAGCACAAGCCTGTTAAGAATCTGCACGTCGAGGGATTGTGTCAGCGCATTGTCGTGTTGACGCAGCCAGCAAGACATTTGGCGAGGATCTCAATATCATTCTGCTCTCAACCATTTGCTCCAGACGCTCGCACACTTTCCGAGGAAGTTCGCCGTTTCCTGCAGGCACCTCCGGCGAACTCAGCGTCGACCGGGGCAGGATTGAGCCAACTACCAACTTACCCAGAAAGTAGGTCGAGGAAAGAGCCGCGACGGTGCCACGCGGAAAATGCCACCCAACACCTTCTCCGCTGTAGGAGCTAGGTTCACACGGCCCCAACTCAAGCTGTGAGTATTCCCGCGCTAGGGTATAAGAATGGCACGCCGGATGTCGAGACGTTCACACGATCTTACTAATTCCGAAAATGTATCGCATTAATTTGCAACACGCTTCGTTCGTCATCTACCTTTTTGAGGTGAGGATATACAGATGAATAATACGACCATATTTTAGTTCAAATCGTTTCGCTTGGGTTGAGCGTACACACATGGGATAGTTAGCTGAGAGCTTGATCCAAACAGTTGATCTCAGGGCTTAACCAGAGCGTGACACCACCACCCCGACGCCCAGTATCAGCTGCGTCAGACCCCGAACGCCCGGCGGGACCGCTGTTCTCCCTCGCCACCCCCGTCATCCCAGCGTCAGCTGCCTCAGACTCCTGACCCCCGGCTGGATCGCCGTTCTCCCCCGCCACCCCCGTCATCCCGGTGTCAGCTGCCTCAGACTCCTTGACGCCCGGCGGGACCGCCGTTCTCCCCCGCCACCCCCGTCATCCCAGTGTCAGCCGCCTCAGACTCCTGACCCCCGGCGGGACCGCCATTCTCCCCCGCCACCCCCGCTGTCGCTGCGACCGGACGCCTCCACCCCGCCCACGCGTCACCCCGTCATGGGGCGGGGCGCCAGGCCGCGTGGCGGTCACGTCATCAGCCCGCGGTCCGCCGGTCCGGGGGTCAGGGCCGCCGGCCGGCAGACCGGTACGGGCCGGCGCCGGTCGCAGCGGCGGGAGCGCGGCACTGACCGCGGCCGGCTCGGGCAGCCCGGCCGCCGGCAGCAGTGGCAGAGCCCCGGCCCAAACGCCGGCCCGGGCGCCCGCCGGCCGTGACGGCCTCCCCTCCCTGCTCTACAGCCGCCGACGGCGCCAGGGGGACCCACACCGGCCCACGTGGGCTCCTCGAACGAGCGGCAGGCGCCGGCCGGCCGGTGCATGAGCCGCGGCGCGGACGGGCTGGGCGCAGCAAACTCACCATGTTGTCGTTCGGCCCCGGCTCCACCACGACGTTGGAGAAGTCGGGTCGCTCTGAGTCGGGTCGGATGTCGACAAAGTGGAGATTGATGCCCGCCTGCGGTCGGAGCGACAGGGGATCAAGACCGGGCCGACACAGGCGGCGCAATTTCACAGTTACACACGGCACCGAGCACCGGCGCCGCCACAGCCCGGCTGCCGGACGCCCGGCTGCCGGATGCAAAACATCACTCACAATGACGGGGATAACAGCTACGGAGCATCGATGACAATACATGAGCCGGCGTGTGCCAGGTTATTGCGGGAGATGGCGCATTACACAGCGTGTCACCGAACGCCGACCAAATCCCACTGACGTCAGCCGCAAGTCGCGGCCAAAGTGCTGCCAACCCAGCAAAAGCCCATTTGTCGCAATTCAGAAACCGTACTGTCACTGAAAGCGTTTGCGGGACAGCTAACGCCCAGCAGCGTCTGTGCGTCGCGTTTGCATGCGATATATATATATATATATATATATATATATATATATATATATCCCACATACCCGACTTCAAACACGACCAAAGCTGCGCTGTAAAGCATTGTTGAGCATGCATTGCAAAGCTGCATTAAAAGTTAAATCCATTTCCCATTGGATACAGCAATGCTAGCTAGAGGGCTGGGCAATCGATAAAATTCCCCTAACGTCCGTGAATACACCGTGCGTCATACTCCGACCACACACTTGCATCGTCACTGCTGCCATGATAAACGCGACTGGACTTCTAAGGCACGCCGATATAGGACATACCGCAATAACACGACCACAGTTACCCTTTTGGCGCCGATATAAGACATACTACAATAACACGACCACAATTACCCTTTTGGCGCCCATATAGGACATGCCGCAATAACACGACCACAATTACCCTTTTGTGTGAAAGGAGACACTGTCGACGGAAACACACATGGCCCCTGAGCTACCTGCAGGCATAGCGCACATATCTATCCATAAGGTTACACATTTTGCGGCGGTCATGTCGTGCTCTCCCACGTTTTGCTGTCCCGTCACCATGTCAGGGTGTTAACGGCGGTCCACTTGCGGCCCCTAGCCGGGGCCGGGCGTGCCGGTGGGTCAGCTGACGGTGGCAACAGCTGACGGGCTGGAGCGGCGCCAGCTGGCTCGGCCGGTCTGCTGCCGCTGCCGCCACCGCCGCACCCACCTGACCTGGGGCCCGCCCCCACCCCACCGGCGGTGAGCCATCACCCCGCCCGGCACGGTCCTGAACCCCACCAGCATGGCCCCCGCCCGACCTGGGGCCCGTCCCCACCCCACCGGCGGTGAGCCATCACCCCGCCCGGCACGGTCCTGAACCCCACCAGCATGGCCCCCGCCTGACCTGGGGCCCGCCCTCGCCTCACCGGCGGTGAGCCATCACCCCGCCCGGCAAGGTCCTGAACCCCGACAGCATGGCCGCCGCCTGACCTGGGGCCCGTCCCCACCCCACCGGCGGTGAGCCATCACCCCGCCTGGCGTGTTCCTGAACACCAGCAGTAACGACATGCCCCAAACTGACGCGCCAGACCAAACCAGCTCAAAGCTGCAGCTGAACCTATGGCCAGAATTCGTGGACCTGAAACCTCCAGCGGCAGAGCCTCATCCAGAAGTGAGCCCTGGAACACTGACAGACAGGTTCCACGATGTTCCGCACTATCCGAGAGGTGCGGTTGGAACAGCTGTGTTTGCGTCCTTGTGTTTGATGAGAGCGGTCATACTATCAGCGCAGGCAAACATGTGCAGTAAGCCGGTTAGGATTTCTGCGAAATAAATGCCCGTGCACAATCGTCTGTGGACCGTCCCTGGAAGCAGATGGCACACCCCCAACGCCAAATAATTATGCAAACATAACCCAGTCGGTTATCTTTAAAACAAAACAAACGGCCTCCTTGAGCCCCTCCAAGTCCTCAAAGGGATTGGGTCCGCACAAACAAGCCTTCTAGTCTCGTTTTCCTCACAGCAAGGGGGGGGGGAGGGCGGGGAATGTAAAAAATGGTGTTTTCTACAAAACGCGCGGATGAAATATTGTGAATTTCACGCCAAGGCACTTGCACCTTGCGCGGGCCTGATTCCTCTGACAAAACCTTGAGCCAAAGCTAAAACCTTGAGCCAAAGCTGTCATTGATGGCGATTCACGACGCTTTCCGCTCCCCATCGCCCGTAAAGGGAATACTGCCGATCTCACATTGATCCGAGACCGCTGTGAGCTCAGAACGAATCTTACACAGCTGGCAGTGCACTCTGCCTGACAAATGGAGCACATCTATTCACTGGCACGGAGATACGCCAGCGGAAAGGTCACCGCGCCCACATGTAGAAGCCATCGCAAGGCTCTGACCAGCGGACATCAACCAGGTCAAGACCATGTGATGCACGACGGCTGAACTGGCTTTCAGCCTTCCGTGCGTGCATGTTCTACAGTTACTGTCATATTTCAGTAGTTAAGTTCATCCATAGATAGCTGAGCATGAATGCATGCAATTCTATGTTCATTGTTTTGGGAAAAGTAGTGTGGTACAACTGGGAGTCATATTCAGGGATCATGCCCTTACGACTAGTCGAGAAATACCAGTTTGTACTTCCTACAAACTGAAAGACAACCACGGAAGTCTTTATGTGCATTCTCTCGATTGACCCCAGCAGCGGCTTCCTACATGGTTGATAAGTCATCATTGGCAACATTAAAGGGAGTATTCACATTTGTGCGGGGTTTGAACTGAAATATCCATTTTAAAGACCTCTTGAAGCAGCTCATGATCACGCTCTTTTTAAGACCTGAGGCCCTCTGGTGCTCCTGAGCTTAAAGTGAGAGACATTAAGGATGTGGGAGAGTAATTTGGAGAGGCATCTGAAGGTCACACTAATACATATGACGTCATAATAACGGCATTCTACTCCAGCCCTTCCATAAGCCAAGCGGCGATCAAGGCCAAGAAAAATGCGATGGTCGAGGCATCCATACCTGACGTTCGCGAGAACAATTTCCAGATATAACGGCCGTCAATTGGCTCTTGATCAATGTTGTGCAAGATGCGACGACGCAATCAAGCAACGACTTATCCAGAAGCACCTGCCATACAGAGTTATTGTGTTGTCTGGAGCAGTCTTCTCTGCTTTAAAATATACCAACAGTAATAAGAGAGCTTGTTTCATCCTATCTGATGCTTACTTCAATATCTTCACATGGGAAACATTCCCTTTCAGAAAAACCAGCCACTGCGCTTCCTTTCGGCTCACAAAATCGCAAACCCGCCAAATGCTGCAAACCCACCACACTGAGCTTCCGCCATGAGGCGTCTATTGCGCTGAACTAACCGGCAGATGTCTTCCTTAGAGTCGGTCGTCCTCCATGGTCAGAGGTGAAGCCAACGATACTATATGTACGTAATCATGCGTGTCACAGACTATAAATAGGTCGCATGCAATATATTCTTCTCTGGCCTTCATTTTCGACCACATCCCTGCGGCTACAGCACAGCCCGTGGAAAAACGCATGTCAGCACCTACAACAATGTAGGCCTGAAAAGCGGGTTGGGGTCTTGGCCACTTATTGCGTCCCGAGAAGGCAGCCAGGGGTCCAAGAGATGCTAGTCAAAAGTTACCTGTCTTGTTGTCCAGCTTCTCCGGGATAGGCCTAAGCACTGCTCACCAAGACGAACAGGGACCGGACAATGCAGGGTGCCAAGGTAAAGTCAGTGACCACCGATACCGGCGCAGCCTCGCTGCGATGGCCGGTGGGTACCTGATTCTGCCCGTGGGCAGATGGCCGGTGGGTACCTGATTTGGCCCGTGGGCAGATGGCCACGCCGGCAACAGTCAGGGGCGAGGCCCGCATGCATTCAAACGGCAGATATCGCAGGAATTTGTACACCTTTGTACGGTTCTGGTTCTCCGTGACGGGCTGATGGCACGGATGGAGAAGGCGAAATGGCATGCGGCGACACCATCTCTCATTGGAATTCGTCTTACTTTAGCATGTCGTCACTTAAAGATGCTCGTTCCGCCGTCTGTCCCATAACACACCGCGGTCCGTCAGCCCCCCCCCCATGCCCCCCCCCCCCCCAACGGATGATGCGGGACGGCCGGGGTGTTCAGAGACGGCTGTGATATTTGCTAAAACAGTCAGAAGATATCTCGGAAAATCAACAGCGCTTATGCGTGAGCGCAACATCGTCATATTCGGCTTTGATAAGGCCATACACCGCTGACTCTGTCTCTATCCATTCCAGTCAGCAAACGTCGGCCAAACCGAGGCCCCTGGGCCACACAGCCCGTCATGGTGTTTTCTGAAAATAAATGACGCCTTCGATACGGTACAGAATAAAAAACAGGACGGACCTACGCAATCAACGCATCGGGTCATTCAGCGGCGTGGTCCCTTGCGCCGTGGCGGAGGCGACGCATCTCTTGAACGTCGAACGCCCCGTCCATTGGCCTCAGCCAACCCTGGATCCTTTAAAAGGTCGCGCAGCAGTTACGCGCCATGTTTTGAATAATCGCTTCCCAACGAACATTCGCAATGACTCGTAAGTGCCATGTTAACATCTTGCACGACCAATATGTGGTACTATACCAGCATATGCCACGGCTACCAACGTGAATGTTTTCGTTCGCGGTTTGGTTTCTGATATGTTGTGTGCAGAGGGGCAGCCGCGGGGGTCTCCCGGCTGGCCATAATGACGCAAGCAGGATTATCCATTGGCTCTGTCAATGGCAATACCCTGCGACTGGTGATACGCGAGGGGAGTGCTGCAGTTTAACATTGCAATCGTTGCTGAGACCGCTTTCCGGACAGGACTCCTCAGATGACCAATGACCATTTGGAACCGCATAGCCTACTTCCGGAGCCAAAGGGTATCCCGCCGTCAAACCGTTTAGTTACCCTTTAACCTGCTCAATTGGTCTGCTGGTGGTTTGCAATAGGAACTACCTGATGTATCCGTCATTTTCAAGACAAATTAGTTAGATAAGGTTTATAAATCATCGCTGGACGCTGATGGCTTCCGACGTGGCAATGAATGTCTCATGGCTCCTTGCCCGTACAAGTACTCTAAGGGTTACTTTGTGTGAGGTTCAAACAGAAAGTTTGTGTGCACTTTCCTCATTTTTCTTTTACACACGAACCTCCAACAGGCATCTTAAAGCTGCTTGAGGCCTAAAAACGTTCACGAACTTCTACAAATCGCACGAGCCATGCCGTCCCGAGGGATGTGGCCGGACCGCCAAATATCAGCGCTGGGAACGGGCCATGCATCCAACAAAGCTCGGGCTTGCCTATGAGAACCGGATAGACCCTGACACTGATGGATTTGGTGGGCAAACTCCGGATGGCAGGCAGCCTAGCTATCAAACTAAATGAAAACCAAAGAGTAAAGGTCAACCATCCCAACCCTGAGGCTTGGCCTACGTGGTTCATTGGACTGTTGCTTGATTATGTTATTCATATTCCGGTGTACCGTATTTAATCACATCTGAAATAGTTTCGTAGATGCATGTTTACATAACTGGGAGTTATGGATACGCTTGCTCCTAGCCACATAAATTCCTTCCAAATGCGACGCATCACACGCACCAATGCAAAATGCAATCCCTCCAAATGCACCAAGACGAACAGAGCCCGAGCAATACAGGGGACCAAGATCAAACCAATAACCACCGATAACGGCGACGCCTTCCTAAGGTGGTATGTGGGCAGATAGACGACCGCACCGACAACGGTCAAGAGCGAGGCCGGCATCCAATCAAACGGCAGATATCGCAGGAATTCGAACACCTTTGCCTTTGTACGGTTCTGGTTCTCCGTGACGGGCTGATCGCACGGGTGGATAATGCAGAATGGTGCACATGCAGTGCTCTACACGCTACTGAAATCATTATACATTTCCGGGTTCAGCTCAAAGACAAGCATGAACCCCAAGTCGAAGACCCCATTTTCAAAGTTTAAAGCGCTTGATATACCTACTGAAACGGTTGAGGAATTTTCATACCGCACTCCTAAACAGCAATAATCAGCCCAACGCCTTTTTCATGCAGAATTCCCCTCGTGCCATCAAGCCTCAGGTTCGCAAGAACACGAATGCCAGAGCCAGCGATCACGCAAAGGAACGCAATGTTCCCCAGCCACGCCAGGTGGTCGCCCAATGGCGAGAGTCCGTCCCTAAACAGCAGTGCCAGCTCGGGGCGGCCTCAGCGGCTCCGTCGCGCGCCGGACGACGGGCGGGCATCGGTCAATCGATGGAAGCCCGCGCGAGACGAGGCTTGTGGCCAACCCACTCTGGGTCGTGCCGGCGCCCCGACAGCGGCCACGCATCGCTAACGTTCACACAAACCGCAGACGACGGAGAAAAATACCTGCCATACCGACCGGGCGCCGATCCGTATCAATACAACAGCGAGCAGCACAACGACGTGAGACGATCCCTGCAGCCGAGATTACGGACGCCCTACGCGCGAGCGTTCTAAAGCAGCAGCGCCGATGTTCTCTGGCTTTGCGGGTCATCACGGGCCGAACGGCCGCTTAGCCACCGATCACAACCGTCGCCGGCCGGCCGGACGGCGCCTGGAGGGCGGCGAGAGGACCGTTCAGGGTGGCGTCTACAGCCCAGCGGAGCGGCAAGCCCGGCTGACGTACGTCACTCGACTACAGTGCCGACCCGTCGGCGCCGGCGACAGTGGTGGCAAAAGCGACCGCGTGTGGCGATCGCCAGTACGACAGGGCTGCTGCTGCATTTCGAGTAGGGCGGAGAAGGCGCTTTTAGAGAGCGGGGATATCACTCTGCGGCCGGCGGGTGCTCTCGCAGACCGAGCCGTGCTTGTGCGGGCTTTATCCGACTGCGTAACCCGACTGTACCTGGCGTGAGAAAGCAACGTGGGCACCGGCATGCAGCGGGCGACCCATCCACCCTGGTGCCAAGTGCACGGGGGAGGTGTCCCTCACCGAGGAGGCACGGAGAGGTACCCATCCACCCCGGCGCCAAACGTATGGGCGAGGTGCAGCTCACCGAGGAGGCACGGAGAGGCGAAAAGTACGGGCGACGTAGCGCTCACCGAGGTAAGGAGAGGTACCCGTCTGTCCTGGTGCCAAACGTATCGGCGAAGTGCCACTCACCGAGGAGGCACGGAGAGGTACTCATCCCTCCTCGTGCCAAACGTATGGGCGAGGTGCCGCTCACCGAGGAGGCACGGAGAGGCCAAACGTACTGGCAAGGTACCGCTCACCGAGGTACGGGGAGGTACCTATCCGTCCCGGTGCCAAACGTATGGGCGAGGTGCCGCCCACCGAGGAGGTACGGAGGGGTATCCATCTGCCCTGGTGCCAAACGTACGCACATGGAGAGACACCTGTCACGACTTATGCTTCAGAAACCACGTAAGTTGCTCAGTGCATTAGCAAGGAACATTATTCACATAGATAAGACAGTAGTATTAGCATTATTCCTTGGATAAGCCAGGGGAATGGAGACATAGTTAGGTTGATATTTCGGCAACATGCCTTTATCGAAACAATAGCAGAAGCTTTATCGAAACACTACTGAATGATACACCGAAATAACAACCTAACTAGATCTCCATTCCCCTGGTTTTTCCCGAGGAATAAAGTTAATATTACTGTCTTCGAAAACCACGGATATGGCCTTGCACGAGGTCGTTCGGTCGGGTCAGGTCGGGTCATGTCGGGTCGGGTCGGGACCGCCCAGTCTGCCCATTGTTTGCCTGTTGAAGTAAGAACGGCGCGATCTACGAGAAATGCGAACAAGCTTCCATAATGGCATGCCTAAACATACAAAGTTTTCACTGATACATGGCCCTGGAGCCAAGTTTTCCAGCGATCTGTCAGGTGTTTGCATACCCACATTTGGTGGCCATTGTGACAAGCAGTGACTGCTGTAAGGGAAAGAGTTGTGAGGCTGGATCACTCCTCCCATGTTATGAATATGTTAAGGCATCACATCCAACAGATCTGAAATCTGACCAGTTCTAACAGGCCTGGATGAAGTAAATGATTGCAGTGACTTCTGAATTGTGCATAACCTCACAGTTTCTCTATGTGTGTAACCTTGCTGATAATGCCAACCCAATGCATGTTTGTGCAGTCAGACAAACTTATGGCACTTTGTGCTTGTCACATGATGGCAAATGATGGTTTGGTTGCACCACAGCTATATGCCAGACATAACCAGGTTTCCAAGGTGTTGTATTTGATATGAAATCATGTGATCAGACTACCTACACTATGCCATAGGAGAAAGCCAAGAAAGCAGATCAGCATGCAAAAGCAATCTCCATGTTCTGATGTGTCCAAGTAATGCAGAATGAGTTATTGGTCTTGGCATAAGTGATAGAAGCAAACTAGCCCACAAGCTATCCTGTCATATGTAAAATTATACAAATCTTGCATGCATTCAAGGCACAAAACAAGCCAGCAATTTAAACCCAAAGTAGCATTCTAACTGGGGTATCCATCAGGTTGCTTTTGCAGTGGTTGAACAATAGCAAAAATTTCACAATGTTATTTCCACATTGGCAGCAAATTCCATCTTCAAAAAAGACCTTACAATGTCAAACAAGCCCCAATCTGTCAGCATTCTGGCACTATTTCAAGACCTATACTTTTGAGCTTCATCTTTGAATGCATTGTCAACTAAAATGTTGGTAGTGAAAGTACCACCTCCATGCCCACTGGTGCTAAGGTAAATCCAAAGAGTTGTGATGCCATGATGTAAAAGATGGTGGCAAAAAGAGGGTACAAAATTGACTAGGTAGGTATGCTGTAAATTCCTATTGTCTTTCAAAGATATCTTTTACAGCTTACCCAGCTCAATCAACAAAAACAATGTACTACCCCTACCCTGAATCCCATACCCAACTGTCATACAATATTTGTTGCAGAAAGTACTCTTGTTAATGTGGATCAATAAGGACCATTGCACAACTCTGTTCTTACCTCTTTTGACAGCTTTGTTGCATGATCGTTCAGTGCTGCCAGCCATGCTTGTGATATGCTGTTCCGTACTTCAGCTTTACCATAGATCCAATTGATCACATTGTTCACCCAGAGAACACTATCTTCATCTGGACCATTTGCCACTGGAGCACCAGATACATATGGGATCTTGACAGGTTTGGTTGGAGACGGAGATCGTCCTCTGTGCGCGACAGCCTGCTTGAATGGCACAGAGGATTGTACTCTTGATATGAAACTTGGATCCACTGAATCTAGGGCACTGCCTTTACCAAGATTTTGTGCACCTGGAGCTTTGGTAGCATTCCCACTTTCACTGCTATGTGATGCCACTGATGACACCTTGCCAGAGACTGAGTCACTTGGAGCATGAAGAACACCTTGTTTTACACCATCCACTTCTCTTTTACTTGATCGCTTCACAAAATGCAGCAAAACGGCCAGCACACAGCAAAACACCGCCCATCCAAGCAGCAGCACTGTTAATGGATCCATCCCCTCTGGTGTAGGAGGATCAAAACTGCAAATAAAATCATCTAACCGCTCAGCCATTTCTCTCCACTGCCGCCTCAACCAATCTAAAATTAGTTGTGGAGTTGGGCTTGCCATGCTTATAGCTACAGCTTGAGCCAAGAGCTAAAAATACACCCAGCGGCCCAGTGAACGAGTCTTCTCTGGCGCCGTGCCAGCAACAGCGAGCGTCTGCCACCTCAGTCTGGGCTCCAACAATGTCGGAACAGGACGCAGCGGTCCGTTTTCTCTTCCGTGAATAATGCTATGAGCCCATTTTCTTTAGGTAGGCGTACTGGGCTGGCACCACAATGCCACCACACGCTCACAACATCACGCGCGAAGGCGGGCACCACCACGCCACACCAGCCGCGCGGAGACTGAACGCCTCGGCCGCCGCAATGCCAAGCCACCATCGAATGTCACTGTCAAACCATTTCTGTCATAGACGGAGGCGGCGGTAACGGTGACCGAGCGACGAATGAATTAAAGGCGGTATTGATGTTTTGCGTTTTGAATGTTCCGCATTTGTATGGAGTTTTGAACTGAAAAAGCTGTATTAAAGATAGTTTGGTGCAGTTGACAGCCCCGCCCTTTTCAAGATCCAAATACATTTACTTTATGGGCTACACATCCGCAAAGATGTGCGGGCTATTTCAAGGTCATCAAATGATCCATGACGTCATAACAATGTCATTGAAATCGTAATATTGCATTCGCCAAACGGCGATTAAGACCATGAAAAATATCATTTTCGCGTCGTACACATCTGCCGTTCGTGAGCACGATTTCCAGATTTAGCCGTGCTCAATTGGCTGTCAATCAATATTGCGGAAAGAGCGATGACGCAGCCAAACAATAACTCATTGAGGAGCATATTTACTAAATAGAGAGATTGTGTTGCGTAGAGCAGTTTTTTCCACTTCAAAACATGCCAGTCAGGGGTGGATGCAGAGCGAACCGCGGAGCCATGTCCCCTTGGGCGCCGAAAGGGCCCATATGGTCCGAGAGGCCCATGGGCTGCCGAAGAGGTGCAAACTTTTAACACAAAACGCAACAAAATTGGACGTCTTTGGATTTTCAGTCTCTTACGCTCTTGTCAGGCCCCTTCTGATTAGCTGCTAGAACACCTTTTATTGTTCGGAGGTTATTTGAACTGGGTCTTAGCTGCTCCTTATTTGAATGAATGACCCTACTCTCTTGTTGGGACCCCTGTCTGTGAATTTGGTCAGGCACATTCAATCATTTGGGGGTCTTCTTCATTGGTTCTTGGGTACTTCCCGTTTGAATGGCGGGCCCTGCGTTCTTCACTGGACCCCTAGATGTTAACCTGTTCGAGCACACTCGATCGGTCGGCCCCCCACATTGTGTCGCGAGTATTTCTCATTTGAATGGAGGGCCCTGCACTCTTGTCCGGGTCCGTTTGCTGACTTGTTCGAGCACACTCCATCATTCCGAGGTCTTCCATGTCGTGTCTTGGGTACTTCTTATTTGAATGGCTGGCATTAGGATCTTAGCGGGGCCCCTCTATCAACACGCGCTCGGGTGGCCGGTTGGATACCCTTCGCTCGGGTGGGGGACAATTTGTCGCCCCCCCCCCCCCCTCCTGAGATCTCAGGAAGCAAGAGAGCTAGGTACACCAAATTCACTGAGTGTGTTGACATGTATGTGAACTCACTTATGCCAAATTTTGAGGTTTCTAGGTCATGGTCTTCGGGTCAAATATCGTAAAAAGTCGAATTTCAGGTCATTTCATTCAAAGTCACTGGCCTATTCTGACCTTCAGGAAGTCTATGGAAAGTGTATTATGTGATTCCCGTTATCGATCGATTTGAAATAAGCACCAGAAACCAATTCATACAGCAAGCCCTAGGGTAATAAAACAGGTTCATTTCGACCATGGTCTGACCTTAATACCTGACCTTAGGTCCATGAAATTTGCTTATTCAGCTGTTTTGTTGCATAAGAAAGTGTCTCAGTGATGCATGGCTTTGTATGACACTCCGTCGTGGACCAGATTGAAAGATTCCCTAGAAATTGCATTCGCTGAAACCATGGCTTGACTTCGACCTGCCATAGGTCAGCGACCTTACAAGATAAATCTACATTTTTGATGTCATATTATCCGTTATTCAATTGTCTACACCTATGCAAAATTTGGCGCGGCTATGCCACGCCGTTCAACACCCATTCCGGAAAAAAACTTTTGGGGGATCAATCTGACCCCCACCCGAGCGCGTGTTAAGCCGCTTGGGCTGGTGGCGGATACAGGGAGGGGGGGGGGGGGGGAGCACGAAACCATGCCGCCATGGACCATGCCGAGGAGGCCTAAGGGCTCCGAAAGCGACCGCAACCGGCCGAACAGACGCACTTTTCTAACAACACAAAAACGCAACAAATTTGGACGTCTTTGGTCCTACAGATCACAAGGATTGGGTGTCAGAAAAAGCAGAGCTCATAAGCATACGAAGTCAATTCTTTGCTGGTTGGAAAGGTGTTGCTTGGGGGAAATTTGAGGGGCTCATTAAGCTCTTGTCCGGGCCTCGTATGTGAACTTGCCGAGTCCGTCTGGTCATTAAGGAACTTTCCGCGTTGCCCTTGATCTCCGTATTTTCTCGTAGAGGCCCACGCTGCTGCTGGGACGTTATCTACTTCCATTTCTGGGCACCCTTGGTCGACCAGATTTTTCTCCACGGATTCTTCCCATTCGCCCGGAAGACTCTATAGGCTTTTTCCGGGGATCCATATCCCAGGGCACACTCAGGTGCTCAGGAACCCCTCATATTAATCTCGGGTTCTTTTCGCTTGCTCGAAGGGCGTTGTGCTGTTACTGGCGCACATATAAGGTGAGACACCGAGGCACTCAATGCTCAGGGGCCCTCTACTTTCATCAAGGGCTCTTTCCATTTGCTCTCATTTACGGAGGACTCCCCACTCCCATCGAGATTCATTTTGTTAACCAGTCCGGGGGTTCTTGATCGCACGGGGGTATTGATTCATAGTCTTTGGGTAGTTCTCCTTTGCTCAGAGTGTCCTGTGTTCTGGCCGGGGGCCTTACATGTTAATCTGCCGGAGCACTACCGATCGGTCAGGCGCCCACCATGCTGGTTTCGGGTTATTTTCGCTTGCTCTGAGGACCGCATACTTGTTGACGGGAACCTCTTTGTCAGCCTCCCGCGGCCCCAATGATCGGTCAGGTTTCGTCCCTACTGGAATTGGGGCCTCAGCCTTAGAGCAGCAGTCGGATTTGCGTCGATGGATCTTTACACGCAATTGTCGAATGTAATTTCACGTGCCGCCGGCGTCATATGCGTCATTTCCCTTGGCTACTGACTGTGTGACGCTTATCACACTTGTGCATCCCGTTCTCAGCATATTTCGGATGCTAGGATATTTTGTGTTTTTTATCATAAATAATCTGCCTTAGTCATCACACATTGGTTGATTACATCGACCAGCCGGCGAGCCGTAAATAAGCGAGGAATCAAGTCCTTGATGGGATTTGACGGTACTTAGCAGGCAACTTTAGTTTATTTTGCCTGTTTTTTTCTTAATATGGACTCCTGTGCGGATTCCACTCATCATATCATAAATTATGCCTATCAGGGCAGATCCAGACGGCGGGGGGGGGGGGGCATGGGGCCATGACCCTCTTTGGGCTCTGGAGGGAGCCATGGCCTCCAAAGGGACTCATAGCTCGCCGAACAGATATATTTTTAACACTAACTGCATCAAACTTGTATAGTCGCAAGGGAAAGTGAAGGGTTCGCGAGAAAACAAAAATAATTTTTCCCTGATTGGGATGGTGGCGATTGGTACATTGTGAGGCTCATTACGCTCTCCAGACGTCCCACCCTATTTCCGGGGCCCTATATGTCCACTTGCATAGTTAATTCGATCGTTAAGGGGCTTTTACGCTGCGCTTGGTCTCTTTGTATTTGCTCCGGGAGCCCTGTGCTGTTGCTGGGATCCTTTCTGCCAGCGTGTCAGGTACTCTTGTCGACCAGGGGCCTTCCACAGATTCTTCTTATTCGCCCGAAAGGCTGTATACGCTATAGGCAGGTTCCCCATATGTTGACCTGCCGGCGTATTCTCAGCTGCTCAGGGCCCTTTACGTTGGTCTAGGTTAACCTACCGACACACTCGCGATATCAGACCTGTACATTGGTATAGGGCCCTTTTAGTCCTTTGTCACTTGTGTAGGGCCCATACGCTCTTGTCGGAGGTCCATCCGTTAACCCGCTTTGGCGCGCTCGGTCGTTCGCGAGTTCTCTACATTGTGTCTTGGGCATTTCTTACTTGATTAGAGTGCCTTATGCCCTGCCGTGGCCCCATCTGTTAACCCGCTCGGGCACACTCGATCGCTCGGGACCCTCCACGTTGCGTTGCGGGTATTTCCAACTTGAATGGAGGGCCCAACGCACTTGTCAGCGGGCCCATCTGATAACCTACTCGGGCACGCTGGATTGCTCGGGGGCCCTGCACATTGGGTCTTTGTTTTTTAATGTAAGGTTTTGCGCTTCTGTCGGGGGCCACCTGATAGCCCGCTCGGGTGCACCCGATCTTTCGAAAGCCCCCCATACTGGGTCTTAGGTACATCTAAATGAAGAGACCTACGCTTGTCGGGAGCCCCCATCTGTTAACCTCCTCAGGCACCTCCCTCTCCCATTCTTCCCGCACCGTCCATATTGTATTTTGCTGACCGATTATTTGAGAGAATGACCCCATTTATTATCTTGCCGGGTCCCCATCTATTAAGGTGCTCAAGTCTGTGGCGGAACCAGGGGAGGGGGGGGGGGGAATGGTACGTGACCATACCCCCTCCCCTGTGCCCCCGGGGATCCATAGCTCTGAAGGGGTTTATACCCGCCCGAACGGACACAGTTTCATAACACAAAATACATCAAAATTGGACGTCTTGGGGCTTGCAGACGACCAAGAACTGCGAGCGAAAGTCAAGAGCCCGCAAGCAAAAAAAAAGTTAATTTATCGCTGATTGGGTGGGTGGTGATTGGGGAAAATGTGAGGCTTATCACGCTGTTCAGAGACGTCACGCTGTTCCCAGTCTCGGTTCACTTGTCCATTATGTCCACTTGCTGTATCAATCTGATCGCTCAAGAGCCTTGCGCGTTGCCTTGATCTCCTTGCATTTTTTTTCGTAGGGCCCTACGCTGTTGGTGGGGCACTGCCTGATAACCTGTCCGGGCACTCTTGATCGCATAGCGGCGTTTATTCATGTACACTGGTCTTGGGTAATTCTTGTTTGCTCAGAGGGCCCCGTGCTCTGGCCGGGGTCATATACGTCAGCCTGCCGGGGCACTCATTATCATTCAGGACTCGCCATCTTGGCCTTGATGCATTACC